TGTCGGGGGCGGACCAAAATGTCCTGCCCTTCTCGCCGATGAGGGATGACGAAGTCATCCCTCTCAAAAAGAAAAAGTGTGAGCTCAATGAAACTAACTGGCAAATGATCAGCCAGCTCATCTTGAAGAGGTTGCAAAGCGGTCACCAACCACCGTGCATATTCCGCAACTGTGGCGGGCTTAAACAGTTGAAACATGCCATGCCAGTCCTCAGGAAGGCAGGTCGAAAGCGTACTCTGCTGTGCGATCTCATCCCAAGGCGCATCATCGATCACCTGTGCAGCATCGCCTGTTTGATATTGCTGACTCTGATCACCCACTGCCAAAAGAAAGCCTCGGAGGTCCCGCAGGAAGGGAACCCAGCTGTCCAGCCTGGCCCTGCCCCGAACGACAAGTTGCCAAAAAATGTCGTCCCGGTCCAGGTTGGTCCTGATGGCTTGTCCATCGGCCTGATCATTCCAGAGCACGGCCCATTCTTCTTCAGCAGACCCACATCGCTCCAGTGCAATATGTGATGGCATCCAGCAAACAACAACCTGACCTGTGTCCAGCAAAGCAGCGCTAGTAAGCAGATCGTTGATCAGGTCGTGATTGTCAACTGAAGGTGGCACTTGGCTTACCTGCTGTTCAAGACCCGTGGTGAGCCAACGGCAGGCATACTTCGAGTCTGTCCAAATCCGAGCCCTAGCCCCGAAAGAAATGGCCCATCGGACACAAACCAACAAAGCGGTCAGCTCTGCCCTGTTGACCGTTTGGAGGAGTCCTCCTAGGTGTCCAGCTGCTATCGGGCGACCCGTAGTGGCATTTTGCACTGCCCATGCCGCTCCCTGTATATATCCAGGAACAAAGTCAATCAAACTTCCGTCAGTAAACAGCTCCTGAAGTGAACCCCCAGGTTCCGAAAGAAAGGAACCCGAGGTGGGAATGTGCATGAAATAGTCCTTCAGCTCACGTGTAAAGTCCGCCCTAGGGACCAGTAAATGATGAATGGTACACTGTGGCCATCGGTGTGCTGCAGCTGCAAGTTCGGGGTTGTGAACTCGAAGATCCTGAAATCGTGGGCATGAGAGCCAGTGTCCGGGGTGATCAGGAACCCTACAGAATGCACACTCCGCCTGCTTCGTTCCGTCAAACTTGGCTTGGTGCCAAGCTGAAACAAAAGCCCCCTCTTTAAGCGCCAGCGTTTGTGCCAGTTGTTTAACCGGCAGCTTGTCGTGGTCAAGCTTGGTGAGGTATGGGTCGATGCCTCGAAGGTCTGACATAGTGTGCCGCTTACAGACGATTGAGGCGACATGCTGCAACCAACCATCAAGCAACAAATCATGCAGTAGCTGGCGTGGCAAAGCAAGCAAGTCATGCTCAAACCCATCATGATCTAACACAAACGGTGGCTCAAGAACAGCCCAGCCAATCTCGGACAGACAAGTGACCAACCGAGAGAAAGGACCTGGAATCGTGCGCCCGTCGAAGGCATGCATGAAGGACTGCCAACGCTCAAGAAGCTCAGGGGACTTGAAGCACAGGCGACGTAGACAGTCAACTATGCGAACTAGCTGGAAGAAGGCAGGTTCCACAACAGGAGGCTCTGACAGTGAAAGACGCAAAAGCGGATTGGCTCCCCCTACCCTAAGCCCAAGGGCAGAGGTGGCCTGCCGGCGAAGGGTTTGAAAATGCTGAAGTCCAAGCGGGCATGCTTCACTCCCATGAAGGGCCTTATTCCAACATACCATTGGAAGAGCTTTCAAACTTATCTACGAAGTCTAGCCCAACAATCCTCAAGTTTCTGGCCTTTAGCACGAAGAAGCCTATTACGCCAAGCTGCGCCGAAGGATAGTGCACCGCCCAATTCCAAGGCGTCCTCGTAGAGAGGGAATCCAAGGAGTTTCAGTTGCTTGCGCAGGCTGCCCGTAGTACCCCACAAATAGGTCTTAGTGTCATCCAGGAGCAATCCCCACAATTCCAGAAAGGCTTGCAGTGAGAAGTAAGCCTGGGCAACATGTTGGGCTTGGTGTCCCGCAATGGAAATATTGTCCACAAAGCTGAAAGTCCTGGCCGAGGGCGCAAACCGAGACTGATAAACATGCATAGACCAGTCCAGTAGCGCCATAGCGGCGGTGGAGAGTGGATCGCCCTCCGGAAATCCAACATTGCTCAAGTGTGCTTCTCCAAGCTCGTTGTGGACGAGAAATCTTCTCCGCAGTCCAGCCAAGAAGCTTGCCCAGGGTGCTGTCAATCGTTGTGGGGCCCCCACATGAGTAGCCAAGTAGAAGAGAGGTGGGCGCTGGATGTAGTTGAATGCTTTGACTACATCAGTGGATAATCCCCCAAGTGGCATTGAGGCTTGAAGGCAGCATTCAATGTGTGCCTGAAGTAGTAACCAGATTTGTGCTGTCTCCCTCTCAGGCAGGAAGCCGTAGGCATCGGTATGGATGTATGCCATCAATTGCCGTAGGAACTGGCGTGCCCGCAGGGAGGACCAGCATCTGTAGACGATGGACAGCAGAGCAATGGGCCTGAAGTGATCAGGTGTGTGTGAACAATCCTTCTTGGCCAAGGCGATCACGAATGCTTCTTCTGCCTGCCCTTGCTCAACGGCTTCAACGAGAGAAAGGAGTGCCGCGATATGGCCATCAGACATGCGAAGAAGGTCTGCCAAAGCCATCTGCACCACGAGCGGCCTTGGGCTTGAAGCGCTTGATGGAAGCCCTCCACTGTTGTATGGTGATAGGTTCAAAGACAAAGCGGCCCGTCGGCATGAAGGCCTGCGTAAAGGTGACTATACGGAGCCAGGCTTCCTCGGACGGTGGTTCTTGTAAGTACCATCGGTCTCTCCAAAACTGGCCCAGCTCAGTGTGAATCTCCATAGCAGTGGAGGCGAAGATGCGCTGAGTCAACTTGGACACCTCTGAAAACGGCCCAGCCGAGTCAATCAAGACCACATTGTCTGCGATAGGAGTGACCTGTGCTGGTAACCCATCCAGAAGCCACGTGGTGTTGCTGGCAAGAGTGGCTTGCTCATCCAAATGGATAACCCCCTCATCATCAGGTTCCACAAGTGGGACAAACTCCTCATCCCTCCAAAGGCAGTCAACCTGATCCCGTGCTGGGGGACGCAGATCTTTGAAGAGCCCATCCATGGTGACCTGTCGCTTGGCCTTGAGGATACCGATGCGCTGTTGAAAGTGCCAGTCCTCGAACTCACGAAAAGCATGCAGAAAGGTGGTGAAGAGAACCTCTGCCAAATTGCGCGAAGGTGGAAAAAGAGGAAACTCTCCAAGGTATAAAACGAATTCTTGGCTATTCCACCATGCAGGAAATCCATCTGTGAAGCCCTTGGCGTGTCGAATGCTATGCCAGAGATCGACCCTATAAAGCGTGGCCGAAGTGCAAGAGGCTCCCTTCCGGATTGAATGAAGATATGATTGCAATCTTCTGACTTGCTTGTACCACAGTAGCACTGCTCTCCCAGGCATCTGGTAGCTGAGCTCGATCTCCCCTGGCCGCGAGGCTTTGCAAGAAGGCGGAGAGCTGAGAATCTTGGAAGGACAGGTCCTCTGTGCCCGACCCTTGAATCCTGCCGGGAGAGGCTTTCCCAGGCGAGGGGTCCAGTGGCCATCAAGAGAAGCCTCGAACTGCTTTGCGAAGTCTTGATAGAAGACGGTGGCGTCCTGGTTGCACCAAACCTCAGGCGTTTCCAGACATGTTTGCCAGTCGTCGACCGCAATGCTGTCCCAAGGAATTTCTGACGGCCGTGGCCAAGACAGATAAGTATGCGGCGCCTCCTCCAGGTGGAAAGAAGCAATTACGGAGCTGTGGTCCACGAAGATATCATGGATCTTGACCTCTGTACACAAAGCGGCCATCCTGGGTGAGAACCAGATCTGGTCCCTCTGTGTGCTGCCCTTGCATGTAGGGGCAATGGGCGTCTGCCATCTGGTGTGAGCCAACGTTTGCGCCTCCTGCCAGCCATAGGAAGCCCAAAGCTGCATTTCAGGAAGCTCTCCAGGATTGAAATTGAAATCCCCAGCCACCACGGCCAGACCATTGTACCCAACTATGAGATGCTCTGAAATGAAAGCGAGCAGCTGTGATGTAAGCTCGGCCGCTGCAGGCCATGTGGGGCCCCGAGGGAAGCCGTAGATGCTGGCCATGATGATGGAGTGAATCCCCACATGGTGGATAGAAAAGTGAAGTCGACAGGAGCGCCATAACTCCTCTGGCATTCTCAAGTCCAATGTTTCACAGGGGAAATCACCAACTGTGGCCACGCCCGACCAGCAGCCGGCCCAAGATGAACCGCTGCGTAGTTCGGCAGGATGTCCAAACAAAGTTCTGACCTGTCGGTGCTCAGCCTGTGCCAATTGCCGAAGCCGACGGCCGGAAGTGCGCTGAGTTGCCTCACTGAGGTGCGTCTCGCTGACTTGATGTACGCCAGCGCCCAGCGAAAGGAGAAGCTCTTCTTTGGTGCGTAGCCCCGAGGGATTAGAAGTACTGATCCGAAGGGGCCCAGGATTGGCGGCTTCACCAAGAAGCCGAAGACGGCCAAGTCCAAACCAAAAGGAGTGCAGAATGCCGCCCATTCTCCCCCAGGCGCAAACCCCAGCCTGAAGAGGAGAGAGACAAAGAGGAGCCGCGATAGACGTAGCACCAAAGAAGAAGCCATTTGCCTGATCAATGTCCCCACCAGGTAAAAGGCCAAGTAGATTAGAGCCTTGCCAGCAGTGTGAAGAGGTTTCACAAGAGCCTCCGAATCCAAGGTCCTGCGAGCAATAACCAGGTCCCCGAAAGGCTCGAGTAGTGTTCCCTCCATACTCCAGAGACTTAGCTGCCGAAAAGGACGTCCAGAAAAGAGTAGCCAAAAGAAAACGTAGCCCCCTCAAAGAAAGGGGTCCGGGTGAGATTGAGGCGCCCACTCTGCCCAGTGGTGGCCTGATGAAGCTGCGACCATGAGATGATTTCGGCGGATCGGTCGGTCGAGGTCCGATCCCCTTGTGACCTAGTCAAGCCTCGTGTTTGGCCTTCTTGGCCATCATGGCCTCCAACGTGTCAAAGCGGCCATTCATCTCTTTGGCGAAATCACTCTTGACCTCGTGCACTGCTGTCTGGACTAACTGCTGGAATTTGGCCTGCCCATTTTGGACTTCTTGTCCCAATCTTTGGAGCTCTTGCTGTTGGTGTACTGCCTGTTGTTGAAGCTCGCTGATGGAGGCCTGTGTGCTGTGGCAGGTGTGGTGAACATCGCCGAACCACTGAGTGAATTGCTTGTTTTGCGCTTGGATTTCGGCCAGTCCACTCTCAAGTTGTAGTAGGCGCTGGTCGGTGTCTGGATTGGCAGTGCCGATTTGCTTCAGCTTGGAATCTAGATCGTGCTGGATGTCCTGCCTGATCTCTTTTGCTAGGTCATCATACCTGCGTGCTGGTGCAGCAGGCGCTGCGGTGGAGCTGGCTGGCTGTGAGGACCGAAAGTTGGCCCAAGGGTCTTTGCTCTGGCCGTTATGCCATGGATCATTGGAGGCTGGAGGTCCCGCTGCAGCGCTGCGAATGTGCTGCTCAGTTTTGCGGGTTGCCATGACCGTCGGCTTGGTGGTGGTGGATGCTCGTTTGAAGACCTCGGTGATGAGGATGTCAAGCTTGAACCCTGGCATAATAGGCTGTGGAGGAGGCGTAGCTGCACCCACTGTCCATGCCATGTAATCGGCATTCCCCTTCCCAGGCTGTAGTGGCTTAGCTGCCCAGTTCCACTCTTTCAAGAGTGCGCTGACTGCTGACTTCTGAGTGCCGTGTGGGAGCGGCATGAGATTGTAGATTTGTTTGACCTCGACGTCCATGTAGGGTACCCCGGGTCGCAATGCCTTGAATGCTGTCTCTTCGTCTTTGGCCAGGACTCGAACCCCGAAGCGCTGCTTGATGCGCATGAGACAAACGGTTTTGGAGCAGGTCTTTGCTTGATGTGAGGCAGCGAGATGATCGAGTCCAGGAAGCCAAATCACTTTGTACCTTGGGTCCGGGCCCTTGGTGGTTTGACATCTCGGCTCGAAGAAGAAGCCGACCGGCTGTTGTTGCAAGATCTGTGACACCATCGAGGAGGGAACCCGGAGCAAAACTGAGAAGCAGTCGGCCTCCTGGGCTTCCGTCTTCTTGCCTTCCATGGTGGTGAAGAGACGGCTCCAGAGGTCAAGGATAACCCCATCATACTGTTCATCAACAGCTGGATGTGCCTTTTGACAGTCGGTTGTCTTCCCAGTGCACTTGCTATCCTTGCAGAGTTGCAGGGCCGGTGTGGCCTCTGCCAGCTCTCGGATGGGGGCTTTGGATACGGCCTCCCAGGAGGTGCCAAGAAGATCACGATAAGCTTGGATCTTAAGGACTGAGGTAGTAACAACTGCAGGTTGAGGCATGCTCTGAGAGGCTTTCCGTTTGACAGCGACGTCGCCAAGTTGAAGGAGGCCGCCGAAAAAGACAACGGGTTCCTCGGTAGCTTTGTACTTGGCAGGGATCATGCATTTCTGAATCTTCGCTGTCGCAACGATGTCTTCCTCTGGCAGGTCAATGAGAGCCAAGGCCAGTGCCTCCGAGCTAAGACTGCTGGAAGAGAAGAATGGAGCTGCCCCCTCTGCGTTGCAAAGAGCGATCCCACTTTGGTCGGCAGCAACCTCTTGGAAGTCAATGGCACTAACTCGATTCCCGTCCTCGTCAACAAAGGTGTCTGGGAAAAGCTCCAATGCCTGAGGGTCCACCTTGATAGGCTTGGTGGACAGCCGCTTTTCCTTGTTGCCTCGCTGTTTTTTGCTAGAAGCTGAGGCCCCGAACGTGGTCTTTTCCTTGTCTTGTAAATGCCGAGAGAGTTCCAGAGGTGTAACCAGCCTAAGACGGAACGAAGGCTTGCTGGCTTCAGCTTTGAGTGCGGCCCATGGCATCTTGGATCTGAGCACTGACTGGACCAAGGATGTCCCAAGTTTCTCAAGCACCAAAGTTGCTCGATCCCTCGAATGTTCAGCAGGGACTCCATGCTCGCTTAGAAGGCTGGCAAGCTCTGAAAGGGTGTCTGCCCGCCCAAGTGGCCCATAGCCAGTGAAGTCCGCCTTCCGATCATGTAAAAGAAGGTGTCCATGGATCCGATTGTTGTCCTCAGTAAATCCACCTGGAAAGCCCAAGACAAGGCAAGCATGGAGCAAAGCAATGGTGCCGCATGTGTGCTCCGCCTGCTGGGTGTAATGCGTGGTCGAAGCGAAGCTTGTGACTGATGCACCGAGCAAAATGGCAAGCTGCTGAGAAAGCCGAACAGCGACATCCAAAAGCCGATCACGAAGTCCATCGAAGTAAGTCCATTGAATGCTGCCATTTTGAATGACTCCATGAAGTAAAGCCCAGTGCTCGTCAGCCGGGAATATGCAAATGACCTGTGCAGGGCCCTGGATGACCCTTGCCTCGAGCCCTTGTGGAATGGAGGTGCGCAGCAGAGTGTTCGCTTGCTTGGGTGAGAACACCCAGACCGGGCCAGCAGCCATGAGCCCACACTGCCGAACCAGACTCTGAAGTGTAGCCCAAATGATGGGATCGCCCAGGCCGAGCCTTGCTCCATCTGTGTCATGGGTAGGTGGTCCTCTGCCGACCAAGGTGTGCCATCCGCTGACAATCCATGGTAGTGTGAGAAGCCTCAAGGACCGCCAAAGCCTGAAGTCGGCGCCATAGACCCTGCCCAGGTCATCTCGCAGAAACAGGATGCGCTGCAAGTTATGCTTGCGTAGCACCTGGAAGAGAAAGCTGCCGGGCTCAACGCACTCGATGATCAGCTCGTGCTCATGAGCGATGCCAATGGCCAAGAGTCCAGTGGGTCGTTCCCTCGCTTGCTGCTTTCCGTGACTCTCAAGTAGATAAGGCCCCGGTGCTTGCAGGAGCGAGTCATCAGAGATGGGAAGGCATCCCCCTTCGGAGATCTGACCATGATGACCCCATTCCAATGAACCTGCTGTTGAAGCCCTGCTGCACAGGATCTCAAGGCATGACCCATTGGACCAAAGCTGGAAGTGCCAAGGCGGTGTGTCGAAAGCTGGAAATCCCCCATGTAGTTGCCGAAGCAGCTCACGTTTATAGTTCTCCAAGGTGGCCAGTGCCGTAAGGACCTCTTCTGAGCCAGTAGCCATTTGGTAGTTCTCAACCAAGGTGCCATAGATCCAAACCATCTGGATAGGCGACGCAATGAGGCCCAAAAGACAATTGCTTTCCCGAGGTCCCAAGGGAAGCAGGACTGAGTCTGGGACACCAAGCAAAGCGGCAACCTCCCTTGGGTGAAGAAATCTCGGATTTCCATGAACTTGAGATGGCACCCAGCTTCCGCGCAGTCCCTGGTCCAGAAGAGTCTCGTATCTGAATCCAGCCGAGCGGCAGTGGCAGGGGCAAGGCCGAGTGGCATTGGAGTAGGAGTGCAGAAATGTCGGTGCGATGCTGTCCAAGGTGAGGCAGCGATCTTCTTTGCCCAGCCTGGGGTCCATGTAGAGAGAGAGCTCCTCCATGTCCAACTGGAGCTCAGTTTCGTCCGGCTCACTCCAAGTCCCCCATTGCGGTAGGACCTGCCCGATCTTGGGTGTTGAAGGAAGGCAGGGCCAAGGGTGAAGCCCATGATGATTCCAACGAGGCGGGATCAGCAAAGTCCACCACCGAAGACGCTTGCACGGCCACTGTGTGCCTAAGTCGAATGTGAGTTCTAGGATTTCGAAGCCCATCGCCTTAGCGAAAGCAGCAATGGCCTGGCGTGTATCATGATTCGACCTGGCAGCAGCTACGCACTCCAAAATCACTGCTTGAGGTTGTGTGAACCAAAAAACCCGAAGGCCTGAAAGCAGTACAAAGGCCCTACTATCATTCCACCCTTGCATCCTACCCTGAGAGCTGTAAGGCTGACAGGGGAAACCCATGGTGCCCGTAAATCCATGCGGAGGACACGCAGCGTGAATGGTTCGTGAGGCATGTGGGTGATTCAAGTCCAATGCCAAAACCTGCCCATGGGAGTTAGCCTTCAAATGACGAACTGAGAGCGACGAGAAATCCACTGAGACGACAGGGACAGCACCAAAGAAGGAGGCACCGATGGACATGCCGCCAAAGCCAGCACAGAGCTCAAGCAAGAAAGGGGCCAAAGGTTCTTGAACCTCAGGGGCACGACGCCACCAACAATCGGCCGATGGAACAAGAACCAAGCAAGGATCGGATTCGAAGACCTCCAAACCGTAAATCGAAACACGACGCAAGGGGAGCCCAATGCCGAGCAAAGTGCCCTCCACCCCAAATGGAAGCAGGCGCAGCCCACAGCTGTCTGTTGCCGCATCCAGCACATCTGCGACCACATCGAACTTATCCCCAATCGACTTGGGGATGGAACCGAAAATATGCTCCTCCATGGCAAAACCCTGTCCCGAGTTTTCGGCCGACGCAGGCTACCCCTGGCAGGTCCTCGGGCAAAAACGCCTAGAGCAAACCCATAAAAGTCACAACTGCTCCGTCTTCCAAGGTCTTCCTCTAGCGGGCCAAGAGGTGGCAGAGGCTCACAGTTGGAAGTGACTTCAATGTAGCTGAGACGCTGAGTGTGGAGCACAGGGCAGTTGCCAGCAACGGAAGTTGCTGCAAGAACAGACCTTGAGAGTCAAGCACCGATTCATCCTGCAGGCACTGACCAAGCTGATAGGAATCCACGAGCCACCGTCTCAAATGGACCAGAGCCACTTCTTGGACTGATATGCAGCTTCAGATGTTGAAGGCATGATACATGAATTCTTTGGGCAACAATTTCCTTCAAGACCACTTTGCTACGCAATCCAATCTAGCTGCACATACCTAAGGTTCCTTGTTGTTCCTATCAACAACTAGTAGCGAGAGATGTGCAACTGGTTGAAAGATCATGCAAGATCTCAACTTATTTGTGCATGCCCTAGGTTGATGACACATAAAACTGAGACCTTTCTGTTGCACTCACCAGTCGAGTGTAAGATTGTCATGTGGCAAATGTTTGGCCTATATGGTCCCCCGAATAGCACTGTGTTAGGGCAGTCCACAAGAATGGTGAAGCCAGCAACATGTGGTGGACCCCGACAATCGGACAAGCCCAAAATTCTTTGCCTTGGACTCAAAGGTATGTCTTGAACAAATACTGTAAATTACCGGCCAGCCTTGACATTGCCAAGGAAACAGTTGAAACAAATCTTCGGCACTTTCATCAATTTGCAGAGTTCGTGCAGATACCAGCACCTTCCTCAGATCCTCAGGGTTTGCGCAGGGCTTGGGACAGTGTTTTGACATTATATACAGTGAATTTTTCGATTTGCTGCTGGCAGCTGCAACAGGGTAGGTGAAGCGTTGAAATCGATGGTGCGTCAGTCTGTCTACAATTGTCCAGACGCAGCTGTGTTTGATTGTTCACCGGTAAAAACTCAGCTCGTTTACTGAGGATGGCCAATTCACCAGGTTGAAGGGCTGGAAGAAGCCAATATCTCAGCAAGTCTGGAATCATTTGTGGAGGAACTCTCATGATCTTGAACCACAAACGAATCCCACAACGATGCGTGTGGCGTTCAAACATCCTCGTGGGCGGAGTTGGAAGACAGTGAGGTAGATTCGCAACACCACCTCAGCATGTCTTCCGAGAGTGCCTGTCGCCAAGGACTTGTTTGTTCGGGAAGGTGGAAAAATACAGATGGGCGCGGCCTGGGGAGGAAGAGGCCTGGGGAGAATGTCCGTGTCGAACTATTATTTGTGCAAGTATTTTGTTTTCCTCATGGAGATTTGGCTTTATAACACAATGGACTGCAGTATATATATATATACTGTGTATATATACTATATATGTATTATATATATTCATTTTTCTACGTCAGATTTTCTACTGTTTTCCTGCATCTCTTCAAGATTTACGTTTCCAGGCGTGGCTCATACATTGATCGAAAGAGACTAAGAGACTCCCTGTGTTGTTGTTGCTGTTGCTGTTGCTGTTGCCGTTGCCGTGGTCGTCGTGGTCGTGGTCGTGGTCGTGGTCGTGGTCGTGGTCGTGGTCGTTGTGGTTGTGGTTGTGGTTGTGGTTGTTGTTGTTGTCGTTGTGGTTGTTGTTGTTGTCGTTGTTGTTGTTGTTGTTTAAAGGGAGAACAACTTCTGGTGCCGGAAGCACATTTCTCACCCCGATCGTCCATACACTCGTGACATCCCCAGACATCCCCAGACCCACCTTTGCAAAAAGGCAGGAAAAACGGTTCACTGAAGGCGATGTTCTCCAACAACTACTGTATTTTTCATGTTTTTCATCAGCATTTGCTGCAAGGTTCTCACAGTGGTGAAGAACATGGAGACAGTGCATGTCGAGACATGCAGAGAGCCTGGGCACTTGAGGACTAGAATGCTAGGCTTGTTCGGGGAAATTGTTGTGCAGTTACAGGATGAATTGACTTGCGGTCAGACTAGCTCAATGACCATCCATGAGCATGTTTCTAGTACTCCTCCGGGTCGTACTGTGGCACAGCTATTTTCCAAGGTGCACTCCAGATGACAAAGTGAACTCCTCCTCTTAGTGATACTGGAGCCAAAGTCTAATATGTACTGTAAATAGCGTTGAAGGATTGGGACGGATTCTGATGATGCATTTCCTTAAACTGATAGTCCTTTTCAAAATAAATCTAGAAGCCAAGTCATAAAACCTGAGCCCCCTTTGTGCGTCCGATGGGTAGCCATCTTGCCTCTTGCCTTTTCTTTGGCCTACCCCCGTGGACGTAGTCTTTCCTTACCGCCAAAGGTTGGCGGCAAATGACCGCGTGGCCTGGGAATTTGGGATGGGTTCCCCCGAGGCGACGGAAGGGACCAGAAGGGACCGGAAGGGAAAGGATGGAATTGAGCCGATGCTGAGAATAGATGAGAATGTCAACAGTCACAATACCGTATATTTCAATATATTTTATTTGCGATAGATAGGTCATGATATATGGCGATTGTGGATGATTTGTTGGGTTTGAGCCGACGGAGATGCATGGAGTAACATGTTTGGAGTTCTTGATTTCTGGGGTGTGGCTTACCAGGCTTGCTCCGCTCCCTTTGGCATGAACAACGATATTGATGTTCCTTAATGTCACTCCCGGCCGAAGAGCATCAGAAAAGCTGCAATGGCCGGAGCATTCATTCACACCTTGTTTTAAGATCAATATTGATGTCAAATGATCATACTGACTCTTCGCACTTCCAGTAAATGTTTTGACGTGTCATTTTCAATCAGGACTTGGGTGCCCGTGATTCTTAAACTGCACGGTGTCGAAAATGCCTGCGTAGCCTGCGGAGGATGCTATGAATGAGATTGGCGTGTACAAGTATTTCCGGGAACAGGAGAGAACTTGCCGATATGTCAACTTCTGAGAGGCAGTATGATTGCACGTGACACTGAAAAATAATTGCTAAAGAGCAAGAATCGAAATCGTCCTATTGATTGACAAAAGGAAATGGCTTTGGCTTGTAATTGGCAAGGATTTCATTTGTTGGTGCAAGGGTTTGATTTGTTGCAAGAATCATCAAGCATTGCGAATCCCCAGCGTCCCAAGGTGCTACAAATGCCATGGCCCCAGTTTACTGACTACAGAATCATGATTATTTATGAGTTATAAGTTATAAGTATACTGTAAGCAACTAGACATGGAGCACTAAAGTAGCATGGAGCATACTTGCAACATGGTTGCTCTTGGAACAGAGCTCCTTTCCTTGCAGAACAAGATGGGCCCACCAAAAGAGCAAAATTCAGTTTCATGTAAGATGCTCCGTATTTTGCAACGAGATCCCCCTGAAATAGGCATACCCCAGAATGTCTACAGTACAATTGGTTGCAGAACGAGATTGGGTCAGCCGGTGCTGCAACTCCTTTTGAGAATCTCACTTTGTAAAGACTGTTTGAGGCACGGCAGCTTTCGAAGTGAGACCAGGACAGCACACGAAAGGCCCAGTATCACCTAGCATGTGATTGATTTGCTACCACCATTTAGCTGGGTTGTTTTACACTTTTAGATTATTTTCGCAGTCTTCGAAGCAGTCAAGAGTCAAGGGTACAACAGCAGTTTTTGTTGCTATGAGTTAACATACCACTCATGACTTGAGTGTACTATGCAATATACAAGTGGACAGGCTTGGCATTGCTTGGCTGTTGGAATTGACTGTTTGATACCATGTTTGACGAGACACTTTGATGTCATGCAGAGAGTCTTGACCAAGTTTTTCTTCAGACGTGTGCCTAACAAAAACAACAGTATCTAGACATTGCATGACATTGCAGCTTCAACAGTCACCAGGACTTGGCTGGTTCTTGAAAACTGCGACGGTGGAGATCTCTTCGACTGCCCAGGGGCCTCAGAAGCTGGGGGTTCACCAAGCAACACAAAGTTTAATTCCCATGCCTTTGGACTCAGACTCACCAAGTTTCTTTCACCAGACATAGAATGAAATGCCAAGTGCTTTAATTTAAGTGTCTTGTGTTTATTTTTTGCGCCGCTCTTTTCTCTTGCTTCCCTTACCATTCCCGACCGCATAAACATAAACTCAACAGCATCTCCGGATTCCCCCTCATATTGAGAGACAGACTTTCAACAGCAGGGTCGACTGCCCTGATCGGAAGCGCTGCTTTGGCCATGTCTGAGGGGTGGAGCGACAGCGTGACGCGGGTCTGTTGAATGAGCAGCAAATCAAGCGCTATGCTCCTTGTCTGATCTTTTTCTCCTTGGCAGTTGATTTGCCGACAAGAGTGGGAATCTATCCTTTTCCCGTATCAGTTGAGTGTGGTTTGTCAATTCAGTCGGAGAATGCGATTCCTGCAGGTATTTTAAAACCTTTAGACTAGAGTCGATTGCTATTTCTTGAGACATTGTTTGAAGACCGTGGAGGGAGGTAGTAGCTAGAGGTAGCTAGTAGCTTAAATAGCTACTACCGACAGGACGCAGGATAGGTCACGCTCGCACAAATGATTTGGTTTCTAGATTTTTAGGGAAACTTAACTATGCAATCTTTAGATTAGATATGATATGACTATATAAATCTTAGTTGTTTGTTTTTCCATTTGTCATGCCTTTGCAAAGCCATGCCAAGGTTTGGCAAATCCTGAAAGCTGTGGATTTCCTACACTCACACAATGTAGGCCAGGCTCCCGAGTATGCTGCATACGCGTTGTATTTTTGTTTCGTTTTTGCAGACAGTTTGGAGTCGGTTTGACAGCAAAGGCCAGGAAGAAAGTGAAAGGGGTTCCATTTTACGTCACCAAGGCCACCGAGATATTTCCTTGGAGAATTTGCTCTTGAGGCGAGGGCTGCCAGGGCAACCAAACCGTTCAGAATGGATATGGCATGTTGAAAGAGATGGAATGATCAAGATTATTTATTGTTCAATGTACATATACGTATCGTATAATACGGTATATACACATATATATATATATCCCTGTTTGATTGCAAGCTTTTGCTGGGGATGGTTAGTAGAGAGCATCTTCCAATTTTTGGGTCTTGATTTGAACAAGAGTTACCCAATATGCCTCCAATCCCCGACCACCGGGATCAACTTCTTAATTGAACATTCGTTGCCCATTGCCCAAGAAATGTCTGAGACTGTCGGTCAAGCAACTTTGGCAATGGACACTGCAGCATGGCAGGAATGGGGAGGTTCGCCTTATGGACTTTGGCCAAGCGGTTCAGCGTGCTTCTCAGACATTCTTAGACATGGAATTCAAACATAATATCATATACTGTATATATATATATTTCCAACATTTGACCTCACACGTCATACATGTTCCCTAAGAAGAGCTGTTAATCATTGGGCCTTTGATTGTTTTTATCCTGAGGTTGAGAACTCAATATAGAATTACTGGAAGCACTCTATTTAATGGTCAGTTGATGACGGGAGTCAAAACTGCTCATTCCCTTTCATGAACCTGCGTGAGCTTCTTCCCGACTGACATTCTCCTGAAAGAGCAAAAGACTCAACGCAAGTATGTTTTTGAGTCCAAGAAAGTGGATACAAAGGTCATGTACAGAAACTGGATGCGTTCAGGCCATGCTTTCCATTTCAATGACCTGCCCTTGACACGTGATCGAGGTTGCAAGATAAAGATGGACGGCCGTACCACTACTTTCGCATGAGCGGTGTCTCGAATGCAGGAACGTGTTGCTTCGGTCAAGACTTGTATTCTGGCACCTAGTAGTTTCTTGTTACTACTAGTAAGGCACTTGTTACTACTAGCTTCTTGTTACTACTAGTAAGGCACCTGTTGCTACTAGCTTCTTGTTACTACTAGTAAGGCACCTGTTACTACTAGTAAGGCACTTGTTACTACTAGCTTCTTGTTACTACTAGTAAGGCACTTGTTACTACTAGCTTCTTGTTACTACTAGTAAGGCACCTGTTACTACTAGTAAGGCACTTGTTACTACTAGCTTCTTGTTACTACTAGTAAGGCACCTGTTACTACTAGTAAGGCACTTGTTACTACTAGTAAGGCACCTGTTACTACTAGTAAGGCACTTGCTACTACTAGCTTTTGGTTACTGCTAGTAAGGCACCTGTTACTACTAGTAAGGCACTTGTTACTACTAGCTTCTTGTTACTACTAGTAAGGCACCTGTTACTACTAGTGAGGCACTTGTCACTACTAGCTTCTTGTTACTACTAGTAAGGCACCTCTTACTACTAGTAGGGCACTTGTTACTAGGAGCTTATTCGCCTAGTGCTTTTTCATGTATAGACAAGGCTGGACGTGCTTGAGACCATGGCCGCCAGCAGAATCACGTGATTCAACCATCAGCAGAGTAGAATCAAGTGGCCGGTGTTTCGAACGCTCATCAGAAGCTTGAGCAAACTGATCTGTCCTGAATTACCGACAAGGGCAGGTGACGGAGGGAGATTGACACATTGTGTCAAAGCCGGTTGTTTGGCCCGTGTGGGTCTTTGGTGCTGAGGTAAGGATTACTACCGTGCACCCGAGTGCTACATCCCTTCCTCCAACACCTGTCCCGGACTTCAAGTTCAGGCCTGCCGTGCAGTGAAGTTGACGACAGCACTTGTTAAAACTGCTAACTTGGAAATCCGACTAGCATGTATACTGTCATGTATACTACCAGATAGAACTGCCGTCGCATTCTTGGGAACACTGGGAGGGGGCATTTGGCAGGAACGTCAGCAAATGCCTGCATTGCATGGATTGCAATCAGCACTAGTCAGCCAGTTTGGCTTCAAGCATGTAGCCAATACTTGGTAAACAACTCCAAAACGTCCATGAAAGAAAGAACATTATATAAAAGTTTTACCAAGTTCTAGGAACCGAATCATTAAGCCTCAGCCCTAGTTTGCGTCCAAGCCTAAGCTTAGTAGTTAGTTAGTTACCCCAGCTACTTAATAAATACTTGTTAGCCCTCTCTATCAGCGTACCCCCTAAAGCATCGGCAGAAAGAACAAGGGTTTGCTTAAGGCTTAAGTTTGCTTATATAATATAGTTAGGTCGGAGACCATCCCTCTTAGGTTGGAGGCCATCGCTAGTAGGTTTGCTTAAGTTTGATTGGTTGCGGATGCCCGGACTGTGTGTGTTTGTGTGTTTGTGTGCGAGGCCATGTGCCCAAACGGCTGGACACCTGGACGTGAGGTGCCATGTCGAAGTTTGGTCTGGGATGTGTTGGGATAGCTGATAGATAGATAGATAGACGGTAATTAGATAAATGGATACAGTAGATAGCTAGAAGGATATGACATACAATATGCTTGATTTTGCTCTTTTGAAGAATAAATCGCGTGAATCCGGCTTAGAGCCAATTCAGGCCGATGATGACCCACCAATTTGGTATTGTTATATAATGATTCTGATGAGATGGATCTAGCAAAAATTACATAATAGTTCTCTCTTTGTTGGCCAAAACCTGTCAGTTCATTTACTCGTGAGAATTGAGTACCACGCTCTCGCAGGTTGCAGGCATGTTTAACCTATTCACCACATGGCATGAAGCTACTGTTATCGTCAAGATACAGACCATGTAACATACATGTATATTTTTTTTGGAGGTGCTTCTTGTGGACATTCAAAGGCTGGGCCATGGACGTTCTAGCAATGGCACAATTTTGGAGTACTGTAACTTAACTCTTTGGAGACTGTTCATTAATGTTCCACAGAAGTCAGCGATGCAGCCTTTGCCTGTCAGGTGCAGGTTATGGGTGGAGGCTATTTGCAACCACCTCAGCTTTTGTCATCAGCTTTGCCAACGGTCAGTGGTCGCCGGCCGTTGGATGTCTATGCCATTCTTTGAGATTTACTGTAGACGTGGGGTATGTGGATGGAGTCAGTTCATGCAATGAATTAGAAGTGTGCTGTTTCGAGACTGCAACTCAACGTCATTTTGGGCTCACTAGATTCTTACTAATTGGAGTTTGCGAAGAGAGGGACATCTATGAATCAAAAGAGCCACAAGAAGGCAGAGACGTTTTGGCCCCCAAGTCAGCTCAATACAGCCCGTGGCAGAGGTGCCTCGTGAGTTTTCCAGACAATGCTGTCCCTGGCCAAAGCTCGGCTCCTTCACAGCAAAATGGGCAGATTAAGCTTCAAAGGATGGGACACAAAAGATCTCAAAGGAGTACTTTGAACTTTGAACTCATGGGGTTGTTGGAACATGTTCCATCCAGCCATATCCAGTTTGCCTGAAATGTCTTCAGTTTTCAACCTGCTCGGCGACAAACTGACAAATTTGACCGGCAGCACTTGGAGCAGTATTCCCACAAATGCTCCAAGTTGCCCCAACCGCCATTAACACTCGGTCTTTTACAACTCAACTGAGTCCCTGTGGATCGCCATATCCAGGTTCACAAAGAAAGGCTTGCTGGGGGGCTGAAATGTGAAATAGCTGTACTTCATAGCCACGATGATGGTGTTAGTTTCTTAGACTCACACAACAAAGGCTTGTTGGAATGCCATTGTCAACACTGCTTATTGTTTGACTGGTTCTAGCAGATGTGCCACCAATTCAAGGTGGCCAGCCTTTGTGGCTACACCGTGGCACCAGTGGATGTCTCTTGGACGAAGGGAGATGGACCAAAGCGCTACTGGATGCATCGACAATCGACTCGTGTGGAGGGAGAAGCTTCCTTGAAGCGTGAGCTATCCGTCCAGTTACTTGGAGCGAACAAGTTGGCCCTTAATTAAGTAGGGTGGAGGCTATCGCTAGTAGGTGCCTACTTAATTAAGTATATATTAAGTATATAATAGGAGGGCAGAGGGCCAACTGGGCTAGAAAACACACAAATCATGCATTTGCTACAAGGTTCGGATGATCCTCCTAGCCGCTGAGGTCTTTGCCATTGGTGTTGCCTTTTTTATCCTGCATGCGCAGGTTCGGATTCTAGAGGAAAAACCATGTCCCATGTCCAGCCCTTTTTCACCTTTGGTCCTACGAACCTTCCAGTGGCTTATACACGGTTGTGCATTGCCTTACGATCTCCTGAGTGGTGATTTGGGCTTCAACATGTTTGGCGTCGTCCTCAAGTCAGCCATAATGTGACATTTCCGAGATCACAAAGGCTCAATGGAAGTCTTGACTGGCTGTGATTGAATTGAAGCACTGGTTGTGGGGCAGGCCTGCGGGGTAGACATTCGGCCAGGTTCAGCCATGGAAGCAGGCCTTGTTAGCAATTCCCAACTTTCGGCCAAGACCTCAGATGTGAAGCGCTGTGTCAGATATGAAAAACCCAGCCTGGTCCACACATTTCGTGCCAAGCCTTCCAATAAGAAAGTAGAAACATCAAAAGAATCACAATAAGTCAAATTTCTACTACCTGGAAGCTATTCTCCAGCACGTCGATGCCGAGCATCAAGACTGCACCGCAGGTTTGTTTACCAGAACGGCGTGAAGGCAGTGATCCTTTTGCTTTGAATAGGTTTGAGTTTGCCACAGCCGTCTAAGACAATTGGAAGCGTCACTTCACTGCGCTGCTCTGTACCTGATTCCTTGTGCATCACCTGGGCCCGGTGGGTGACTTCTTCATTTGTGTTGGAGTGGCATTGCGTCATTGAGCCATCAAGAAATCCCGCAGCCCCAGTTGCCAACTCATTTGGCAGTTGCGATAAGGCGATAACCATGAAACTGTTAACTACTAACTACTGGTTCCAGACAACCCTACGGAATGATAATTATGTAGTTTGCCCTGTGAGCAGCTCGGTATGGCTATAAATAACGGAGGCTCTTCTGGAGGCATTCAAGAAGCCACATTCAAGAGACCTGTCTGACGAAGCGCCGCGCCCTGAGCAGGAAGGTCAAAAGAGTCCAAGAAGAGTTCACTGGTTTTGCTGAGTTTTGATGGTACTGTGTTTGGGAGGGAAACATGAGCTCAGCTTTTTGCTGCATGCAACGGCCGTGTGTTCAGTTTGGCATGTTCTAATTCCGACACGTTTAGTAGTGTTTTGCTAGATGTTTGTCAGCTATGTTATGTTATATCTCTGAGTCTCTGAGTGACAAGCTACACAAACTGGGAGATGGCCAGTCTCTAGCCCCATTTTCTGGATGCAGCAGAAGAGAACCTACTGACCTGACACTGACCAGGCAAGCCACCTCCATCCAATGAGCATCCGTTCAGATGTTTTGTATATACTTGGGTCAGTTTCATGTTTCGGTATCATTTGTAGCCAGATGTTAGCCGCAGCCTTCCTGCTTTGAGGTCGGATCTCCTCACTGGCATGTTGTCCGGATCATAGCCACGTGTGACGAGTGCAGCTTGTATTTGGCTGCAAGAGTGAATTCGGCTGCTTGTGTTCCCGTTGAAGTGTCAAGACATATTGAACGTGTGAGGCATGTATATTCAGCGTACCGCTGGACAGTGCAGCAATGCATGGTCAGAGGCCAAGCCATTCTATTTAACGTAGTGCTCCCCGACTCTCGGGATTTTTCCACCAAGAACCACACATGCAACTCAAATTAACTTCAATATTCTGCCTTGTCCTTTCACAAGGTATGGTCGGCGTTTGGCATGTTCAGACATGTTACCATGTTGTTTTGGGTACAGTAACTTCCGACGTGAGTCAAGCTAGCAATTGAATGTGGAAATTCATACTTCCTAAAGTGTCTTCCAAGGAAAGTGCCTGGTTTGCCGATATGGAGGCTGGTTGAAGTGGAGTTGGCCGGCTGACTCCGTCGGATAACGCAAAAGCAAGATTGATTGACGTTGACAGCTAAGTGCTATACACTCAACATCACTCAACCAGTGTCGCCACGTGCAATGCCAGTGAGATCATAGTCGGGCTCCCTACTGAAGATCTGACAATGCACCCGACGTCAGGATGATGCCTAGTGTGGGGAACCCTGAATTCCAAGAGTGAGGCGATGCAGCGTCCACATTAGTTTCACGCCAGCAGGACAAACTTGCCAACCACACGGTGATATGATGGGCTTGCAGCTGCAGACTAGTGGAAATTAATTAGAGACTGTGAACTGCATACAGTGCCCAGATTGAAGCAAGTGTGTTCGGGATGTTTGGATGTCCTACGAGGCTTCACCAAACTGATCTCCGTCGTACCAGTGGATGTCTGCACAATCCTATACTGATCTATCTACCCTTGCCCAAACCAAAATAGCGCACACCTGCATAAGTGTCCGGTGACATTTTGCGTGGTTGCCTGAGAATAGACTATATAGTCAAGTCGTGGAAATGAAACCGAACGTGAAGCAATTGTAGCCAATTCCCGCTTCTGAGACATGCCGCTTCCATGGAGAAGCAGGTCCTAAGCTCCACAGAACTTCCCAAGAGGATCGACTCCAAGTCCTTGAAAGCATTTGCTTGTTGCAGATCATGCACTCCCTATTCTCCAAAGGAACCTTTTTGTCTAGACAAGCACCATTAGGATGGACCCCAGAGGTTTATGTGCTGTAATGTCGAACGATTGTCTAGTGATGTGTTTTCTTTGCTCAACTGCATTTGACGTCGCTACGTGCGTGGTTTGGACGCCATGGCATGTCCCACAGCTGGAGTTCTCAAAGGTCCTGGAGAGATTGGAACTCTTGGACAGGTTGCTTCCAGAAATGACATCCAGATGTGGTGATTAAAGACCATTTGCTAACAGTGATTTGGTCAAGAATCCTTTTTGAGTTGTTCAATTCTAAAAGTCGCATGCAAATAGACTCAATGGATGGTGTTTCATTTGTTGATGCGCGGAAATGAAAATGTAAGTTGCGGTTAGTGCAAGGTCCTGAACAATGCTTTTAAGAACCTGCTGGCAAGCATGCGGCATACTGCTGATACCCGATACCTTTTTAATTGTGCAGTTTGAGGATGACCATTTATACTATTGTTTTTTGTTGACAAGTACTCAATCTAGGCAAGACAACTTTTCAGGATATTGAGTGGCTACAGGTTGCTGGTTGTTTGCGTAGTCAACCTTATGTGCAGCAACAACGTTGCTTGCCTTTGTCCTTCATTTTGACCGCTTTACCCAAGGTTCAGATTGGGCTTGGAACCCTTCGTCACGGTCGTTTCACACTTGGGACTGGGACTCCTCGCACTGCCAAGAGCGGGCTCATGACGTTGCGGAACTTGGGCGATGCTTTAGCAAACCTTTTTGTCTAAGCTTCAGATCCCTTCGGATCCGTTCAGGCATTCTGCACCCTTCTGCATTCAAAGGGGTACCTTATTGCTCGAATTGTATAGCTGGCTAGCTGCTGCAATTGTGGAGTGGAGAAAGAGGATATCTTCGAATCTGTTAAACCTGAGGACGCTGCCAAGGAGAGGATTGATCAGGAAGTTGGACTCAAAAGTCACTCACCGGATGCAGGTGATCAAGAACCAGACACTTGGACTGATAAAACCACCTGGGCGCATAGAGTGGAGGTCAGGGAAAAATTGTTTGATCAATCAATTATCAAACTACCCCGAGCCCTTTCTGCTCCCATCGCGGAACTGAGGATGCTGTTTCCCGTTTGTTTGAGTGTGGAGAATGAGTATTTGCTTTTGTTGGACATGTGGCGTGCAAACTACTGAGGATCCCCAAGAACCACCGGAGGAGCCCTTTGGTGAAGCAGTGGCTTCGAAGGTGAGTTTTCCAATTCACAGCTCCGACTCCACATCACTGAAGTGGCAAGCTGGATTTACCGAAAGGAGTTCGTCACAGCCTTTGAAAGGCAAAGAGTTCAATGACTTGATCCTGGAGAAGGTTTCTTGCCATTCGTGGACATGGTTTGGCAATGTTGTCCATTGAGCTACGTCCTTTGAACATGACACTTACATCATGAAGCATCATTAAATTTATTAGACTTGCACTAAGCTTGCGTTTGCAAGACTTGTGTACACGACATGACGCCAAAATGTCAGACCGGATCCTGTGGCGAACGCGCCCAAAATCCTGCAACCGGATACCCCCACCCCCTGTCCTGTCCTAGAAGGGCAGGCTAATGTTGCCGCCTCACACCAAATTTTGATATGTAATGTACCTTTTGGCTGCACTAGGTCACTAGGCAGCTGGAACCAGGGGATCGAAATGGATCGAAGGATCCGACTGGAAGAAGGGTATTCTGACATGTTTCCATTGGAGTATATACATAGATCAGAGCCTCCAATTGTACAGGTTTTCTTATTTTCTTGCCAAGGCAACAGTCATGAAGCGTGTTTCAGTGCAGGCATCGCGGAAGGTAAGGATTAGACCCTTTTCCATCCTGAGGCCAGTGCTGGCGAGATCCTGGAGCTTTTGGACAGCAGACTATTGGAGTTCAGTGTGGTGAACGCCGTGACAGCTCTTCATCGTATTGCCAAGGCAACTGATGGGCAGCAGTGGAGAAGAGACCCAAGGATCCTGGACCTTCTCGACAAGGGCCTAAATGATGTTCAAAGATGTTCAACGTGGTTGGTTCATGTTGGTTCATAATAGGCTTGTGGTAAGAACTTGCTTGTGCCATTCCATCGATATGTCGAACATATTCGAACATATTGTTTGTATATATATATATATGTGCCATTTTAAGAGTATTGGGTCCAGCGCATCTGGCTTTTGGGGTTCTGGCAGTTCTGGCCAAAAAGGCACATGGCAGAGTGCGGATGTTGTCCAAAGGTTGGGAGAAGAGACTGGCCAATCTATTGGAATGCAAGTGATGTAGCCAAGGATCCACTACCTGAACAGAAGGCTCGTCAACATGTTCACGAGCTCCAAGAAGGACCTTATTGTTTCCGCATGTTTGTGCCAGCAATTTTAACAATTGCTTTGCAAAGCTAGTCAATTTAAACATGGCACCAGGGAAATTTTGCGTCCTTGTTCCTAGTAGCGATGCCAGGAGCCCCTAGTAGCGTCCTTGCTCCTGGTAGTAAGGCCAGGAGCCCCTAGTAGATTCTTGTTCCCAGAGAAATTTATAATTGACTCTACCTTTCCAATATTGTCATTTGAGAAATTGAGAATGCTGAAGCAGCCTGGACAAAGAGGCAAAGAAAAGGCACGTGTTCGAATCATTGGTTTTTGTCCTAAACGGGCAAGAGGATGAGTCATCCAGATGACTCCAAGTTCCTTTCGCTCCGTTTCTTCCTTTCACCAGCAGCGGTAGGCCATGCACGACCATATGTTGTTCGGCTAATTCTCTTCGCTCCAGGATGAAATGGAAAGGAAAGAGATGAAAGAGACCGGGCGATGGGTGCCCAGCGATGATGCATGACTGGATTTGAAACAACCATGCAGACATGCAAATGCATGCAAATGCTAATTAAGCAGAAAGTCATACAGTAGGGTTATGTTATACTGTCATGGGATACTGTACACTCACCATAGCAAATCCGGTGCCATGAGTTGCCTCATTGCATTGTTCCTGTGTTGTTTCTGAACGCCATCTACACAGGGGATCTGTTTGCCTTCAAAGGGCTGGAGGCCTTCTCTCATGGTCAATGTCGGATGGAGCCACCGCAGTGTTCGCAATGTTTGCATTTGCGGTTGGCAAGGACTGGGTTTACTATATTGACACCCGCTCTTTGTGCAATGCTGCCTGGGCATTTGCACATTTGGCTTTACGACACGATCAAATGCTGGACCCTTGAGCTTCCAGAGTTGCAAAAAGGCTTGGAATTTTTTTTGTAATGTTTCAAAAGGTTTCTTCAACCATAGGGTTTATTGATGGTTTGGACTGGGCTGATGGTTTAGCCTTGCCTCTATTTACGCGGCTTTACGACAGGGACAGGGTTCCCAAAATTTCATTTCACTGAGGTGTCAGTTTCAGTGGTTGAACAAAGGTTCAATTCAATACGTTCATGTCGAATGGCTGGCTTGGGCCGAGGAGATCATTTCTGAAGAGATGTGCCACAAGATTTCTGATTGCAGTGCCCAGCACCTTGACTCCAGAAATATTAATTGTTTTAATTTATTGCTGGAATGTAAGGTCTTTGACAAGTGCTGTCATCTCGCGTCGAAGACTTCCAGTGCATCGCGTCGACTCTGAAGGCAGCTGTCTATGTGCGCCTGGTCATTTGCGAAGATGGCCAGAAAGGACTATATAAGTCTAGGATAATCTAGCTGTCTAGGTATGTTGAAGACCCAGACCAAGTTGACCATGTCCAATCCAACTCATCGCAGTTGTCCAATGTTGCTGCTCCGTAGGGCAATAGGGAATGTGTCACTTTGTATTTGGAGCAGAGCTTTGCCCTAGATGGATTCCAGGACTTCCAATTGATGCAGACCTTGGCAGACGAGGTTGGAATTGAAAGTTTGTCGTCAGTGTCCTTTTGGTTCTGCTTGGGGCATTCGATGGTTGCTTCCTTCATGAAAGTTGGTGACCGGGCATCATCAAATTCACAGGTGAAGCACCGTGTACGCTTCTGTACGTATGTAAAAGTCACTGACGTTCGGTCAGCATTGCCAGCCCACATTGCAAGCGGTGCATGTTGTTGAAGGCGAAAGTCACTACAAAACGTCAGACTGACGTCACTAACCCAATAGGCTTGACAGTCACTTTCAGTTAATTTTGCTTCCAACCGAAGGCCATGCCACGCGTGTTTGTTCTGCTAATCAAAACGTTGCTTTCGTGAATGGTGAATCTTTGGCTACAAACCCCAGGCGCAGCCTAGGCTCTCTGAATTTTCTCCACAGCATTTGATGACGACCGCCACTGGGCATGCACGGACAGCCAGAGGCAAATGGGTACCACGGAAGGAGCAACCTCCTGACGATTGGATGCTAGTGTTGGAAGCATGCAAGGCTTTTGTTTCAGCAGCAGATCGTGAAGCATGATTCAGCTGACGAATTGTTGACACAAGACTTGAGGGCGCTTGTTCACGGGTGGCAAACTACTTTGCTGTTTCTTTCCCTGGAGGGTAAGCTAATGTTGCAAGGAGCTTCAGCTTCAGCACATACCCTCAGTGGCCAAGCATCATGACATGCAAGCGCCAACATGTGGTGGATCGATCGTGCGGCTTGCTTGGCTCAGGTTTGGGCGTGTGCAAAGCTTGCATTTCTTCATGTTCGGCCACTTGGACAAGAAGTAGATTTTCACACCTACAAGCGATGAGCGTAAGCATGCCTTCAATGAAGACTTGAAATAGCCATCAGGCCAAACAAAGGGAAACATGGGAACGCTGTCACATTCGGAACTGACTAGACGCAGCACAGTGAGCATCAAATAAACTTGAAATACATTACACTATAGTCTGGAGTTGCAGCCAGCACAAGGTTGCTGCTGGCAATCGCCAATGTTTCCTGCAAGCGGCTCCAGGACAGCTTTTCTGAACATATTACACTTATTAAATATACAACATAGTTTGGTATGATGATAATTTGTAATAGCATTTTCCAGACCTCAGGATGAAAGCGCCAATTCGTTGGAATAGAGAGAGAGAGAGAGTTAGGTAGCTATCCAGTTTGGGCCACGGGAGGCTATTTTGCATGGTTTGTGTTGACTAAGTTGCCAAACGGGGCATGGATTTGATTTGTCTTCCAGCTTCCTTGCGCATCCCACCAAACGGCTAAGACTCGACTGGGCCTTGACGTGACGATTTTGCTGTGAAGATGTCGTTGTGGTACATAGATTGTACATAGTACATACCTGGTACACACCTGGTACATACTGAAAGCAGTCTTGCAATGTGTTGCATGAAAGTGCAAAGAACATTCTAGCTCGATGACTCGATGTCATCATACTTTGAGGACTTTACACCTCAGCACCTGTCGATCACCGCCTGGGGCTTCTTGGCAAGAAATGGATGATGGCGGGGAGAAGCCTCTACTCACAAAATTTGAATGCCCCTCCAAAAGCTGAATTTTTTGGCCAATGCCGGGCACAAGATGAAGGGAGAACAAGAAATGAACAAAGATCAAACACCGAAGAATACGACGAAGGCCAAATGATCCAGATGGCAGACAATCTAGAGCGCAAATCATGGATTGATTCCAGGAAGATGTTGGAAGCTCTATCGGAAATCAAGAACCCCACGAGAACCCCTTCACCGGTGGAGAGGTGTTCCTTATTCATGTTGTTTGTCTCTTTGTATATGTTTTTTTTTCTCTTGTCAATGTTACTTTAATTGCCTGTGTTTCTACTTCCCCACCTGTCAGGTGAGGGTTGTTAGATTTTATCTCAGCCCCATCTTCTCCTGCTCCGCGTCCTCCTTCTCCTGCTCGTGCTCCTCCGCCTGACCTCAACCACGACCATCCACGCCCAGTGTTCCCTGCCGGACCTCCACCTTGACCATCCACGCCCAGTGTTCCCTGCACGACCTCAACCACGACCATCCACGCCCAGTGTTCCCTGCCGGACCTCAACCACAGCCCGCAACCACAAACACAACCACAAACACAACCACAAACACACAACCACAAACGCACAACCACAAACACACAACGACAAACACAACCACAAACACACACCCACAAACACAACCACCAACACACAAACACAGCCACAACCACAAACACACAACCACAAGCACGCAACCACAAACACAACCACAAACACACAAGCCCAGGCACAACCACAAACACACAACCACAGCCACAACCACAAACACAAACACAACCACAAACACATCCACAAGCACACAATCACAAAGACATATCCACAAACACACAACCGCCAACACACAACAACCACCAACACAACCACAAACACAACCACAACCACAAACACACAACCACAAGCACGCAACCACAAACACAACCACAAACACACAAGCACAGGCACAACCACAAACACACAACCACAGCCACAACCACAAACACAAACACAACCACAAACACATCCACAAGCACACAATCACAAAGACATATCCACAAACACACAATCACAAAGACACAACCACAACCCAACCACAACCACAACTACAAACACGCAATCACAAAGACACAACCACAAACACAACCACAAACACATCCACACAACCACAACCACAAACACAACACAACCACAAACACAATCACAAGCACACATTCACAAACACACTGCCACAAACACACAATCACAACCACAACCACAACCACAACCACAACACAGCACACAACCACAACCACAACACAGCCACAAACACAAACACACAACCACAACCACAACACAGCACACAACCACAACCACAACACAGCACACAACCACAGCACACAACCCGAGGACCCACAAGCAAAATCGAGAACTACAATACTCATGACCATGGCAAAATGCTCCGCACTATGGCATCAAGACAAATGATTGAAATGTCATGGTGGGGATCACTCAAAGTAAAGTAATTGTAGGCCATCGCTATTAGGTTGGAGGCCATCGCTATTGGGTTGGAGGCCGTCGCTATTATAGGTTGGAGGTCATCGCTATTGGGTCGGAGGCCATCGCTATTAGGTTGTTATATAGGTTGGAGGCCGTCGCTATAAGGTTGGAGGCTATCGCTATTAGGTCGGGGGCCATCGCTATTAGGGTGGAGGCCGTCGCTATTAGGTTGGAGGCCATTGCTAGCAAGTTGTTTCTACTTGTTTGTTTTTTTGCTTTTTTTGTATCTCAACTGCAGTTTGAGCCAAGGCATGGCCACCTTGGCCTTTCGCCATTTGCCGCTGATGGATGCCATCACTGCCGAGGCTTGGTGCCAATGTGCGGAGCAGCAACAGCAGCAATAGCTTCGGGTTGTTTGCTGTTTGTGATCTGTGTGTCACTGGTATCTCGGCGATGTTTTGCTGGTATCTCAGCTGTGTGGAGGGTGTTTCGATGTTGGCGTTGCTCTTCGTCCTTTTTTAGTCTTGTCGCCCTTTGCTGTTGGAGTTGTCATCTTTGCATAGTGGCCCCCACACAGATCGAAAGGTCTTCCCAAAGAATACATGTTTGGTTTCCTTTCTAACGATGTCCTTGGGGTCGCTGGAATCAATCATTGTGGACGAAACGATACTCCAATTATTTCCAATTAGATGCGTAGCTGCTGGAGATGAAGAATTCGCACGTGCATGTTAAGGTTTGGCCCTGATTTGGGTTTGCAAGATGAGACATTAGATTCTAGAGTCTAGAGAATCCAAATAGTTTTTTGACAATGGGTGCAGTCAGGGTAAAGTCTTGGCAGTCTACATGCTTTGTAGGCCCAAGCCACATTGCGTGCATTCAAACCGCAGAACATTGCCAATACGGAGACCCGGCAGATCGGTCAGAGCTGAAAGAGTACTGGATTTGACAATGGTGTTTGACGCGTATCAGCCTCATTAGTTTTTTCCTGCTCAGTTAGTTTTGTCTTTGATGTGAACTCGTGTTTGATACTAGGCTGGGCAGTTAACAAATTACTGTACATTGAACTCTTTGCCCTTTGGATAATCTATATGAGCCACGGTCAAAACATGCGAAGACCACTTTAGTAAAGAGGGGTAGGTTTGTGCACAAAACCCTGCAAAACGATAAGGTCCCCTCAAAACCGATAACCCCAGCGCTGTATATGGTCATAAGTATGCGACGAACTCAAAACGCTGTAAAACGATAAGGTCCAACTCAAAACCGATGACGTCCATTTTTTAGCTGAAGAAGAATAAGGAGTTTTGACAGTCCCTCATATATATCCAAATATATGTGGCAGTGCTTCATTTTAGCTGCAACACTTGTTGGTTCCACCCAGCCATCTTGTTCAGTTTGTGTTATCGGTTGTCCTTGTTTTGGCCCTCATTGCCTCAACATTGTCATCCACCATGGAAGAGTTGTGTGATTATATAGAGTAAATTGGTTTGGGGATTTGGGAGTTTGGGGCCATCATGCACAGCCGTCATTTCATCATTTGAATTCATTTGAGGCATGGGCATTTGCAACGTTGGGACTTCCAAATGAGCCTTTTTTTGCCCAGTGTCTTGGCATGACACCCGTTGGTGTTTCAATAACTTGCTACTTGTCTGATTTGTCTAGCACTTCATAGGGGCATCAAGTCATGTGGCAAGTGTCTCCTGATAATTTTTACCTGACCCTACTGCAAGCTTTGTGCTGCAATAGCACCTGGCGTCAGCTACGCATTTGGTCTTGGACAGTGAATGAATGTGAAGGGACAGGATAATCACTTATAGGATCTCATAGGCAGTTGCAAACAAGGCGTTGTTCATGGTGCATTGATGTGAGAAAATGATGTTAGGCTGTAGCTGAAGTTCTTGCGTTTCAGACTGTTTTTAAGTGTTTCGAAAAGGTCAAATGAAACATAAACAAAATTGACGAGTTGACTGCGATTCATGTTCAACATTGATTATGGTATGAAGCTCACAGATGACATATTGTAGAGGGGCCTTTGAAGAGCCAGCCTCAGACATTCCTTCATTTTGGGCTCTGGTGGCAATTGAATCGGAGCACTTCCTGGAGTCACTGGAGTCGGTTGAACGTTAAAGGGTTTAGCGGTCCAATCTGCACTTTACACTGTCTTGAGGCTTGCCAAGCACTCCGACCAAAAACTGCCGCAGTTTACTCCGCAGAACCTTTCCAACTTGGTGTGGTCCTTTGCAACGCTCCGTTTGAGGCGTGCAAAGGCTATGTACAAGAAGACACATTTTTTGTGCTCCCAGCGTGCAAAATGGACGTGGATAGATTGAACATGTTTAATGAAAGTCTAGTCTATAGGAGTTAGTTCCTTTCAGATGCTACTGGTGCAGACTAGTTGAACTTGTGGCGATTTGGTTCATGACATTGCTGTACCAGTGAGCGGATATCGGATATTGTATCTCATGGATGGCGACCTAGAAGTAATCAAGACGAAAGTGATACATTGCATGGGTGGGCAGAGAGAGAGGACAGTAGTAAGGATGCTCCTAGTAGTTTAGTAGTAATGCCCTTTGTTATTAGAAGCGATGCCCCTTGTTGCTGGTAGCTTCTTGTTCCTAGTAATGCCAGGAGCTACGTTCGTAGCGTCCTTGCTCCTTGTAGCGATGCCCTTTGTTGCTAGTAGCTTCCTTGCTACGGCATGGGAGGATAGTTTGAAGACAGCACGGCTCCAGGTGCGATTCACTCTTCACTTCTGCGGCAGCCGCATTCTGTGGCTTGGCATGAACCAGCACAGTTTGGATTCACCAGCGCAGTTCCACATCTACAGCATCACCGTTGCCTACTAGTAGCTTCTTGTTACTAGTAATAAGGCCAGGAGCCCCTAGTAGCGTCCTTGCTCCTAGTAGCGATGCCCTTTGCTCCTAGTAGCAAGCCTTTTATTGGTGGAGTTTCTAGACTGCGAATCTCTCACAGATGCTAGGCTCCAAGGTGGCAGAGTTCGATCCTCAAGCCCTATCGATGATGGCATCAACCTATGCCAGCTTAAAGTGGCCAGACCGCAACCTGGTGAATCCAGATAATACCGTGTAATTCTGGTCTTGGGCGTTTTGTGTTTGAAAGCTAGACAGCACTGCTTCCCAGCCAGGAATAGAAAGAGTATGAAAGAGTTGCTAATCGTATAGAGATACAAGTTGCTTTTGGCCTTTGAATCGCATCACAGAGCTCAGTTCTCTTTGAGTATGGTATCAAATGATTGGTGAAGCCCAGGTTGTCTTTCCCGTCGGTGTTCCAGGCAGGGGAGAATTGAGCATTGCGAGCAACACAATTAAGGTTTGGGCTGCCAACGGCCAGCGGCACCTAGAAATGTAAATGTATCAGTCAGCGTATTTCCATTGAGACTTATGCACGCAGAATGGTTTTATGTTAAGGCTCCTTACCTGTAAGGATCATGACCTTATTCGTAACTCAGAGTAAACTTTAGTTTCCTAAAGTTAGGTTTCCTGCGGCCTGAAGGTTCGAAAGATGTGGCATGTAGCATGGGGGCTATAGATAGTTATTGCCATGGAAGATGACCTTGAAGAGTTCGATATCAATGCGTGTTGTTCTGATGATTTCGTTTCCGATGGACTTGAAGGGTGCAAATCGGATCCAGGGAGTCTTATTTAGAATCTTGAACGGAGCACAAATGCCCATGAGTATATGCAGCTTCGGATTTTTCCGAGCGGACTGCAACTATGATCCTGACCATGCAGTCAGACGGTCCTGGATGTCTTTGCAACACAAGCCACTTGAACATTTTTGGGAGCATGGCTTTTGGGCCGAAATCTTTAAAGACTCAACAGGGGCCATGAATTCACATGAGCAACTGTTCCGACCCCAGGTGAACCAGGAAAGCGTCACCGCTGAACTATAGATGCGGCCAGCATCGTTCGTCAACCGTCCAAGAAACTGACTTTCAGCTGTTATCAGCAAGTAGTCAGGGATGTTCCTGTCATGACCTGGAAAGAGGAGCGCGAAGCCACATGGGAGCGCGCCATTCGTAGATGGCTGTCAATGATCGAAACCTGGAACAAAGAAGAAACCATTGTCAGGCATGTGCTGAGCCTGCAGAAATTCACTCAAAGGGCACAAGTGCTGATGGATGTGTTTTACAACAAGTCTCCGGCAACTTTGGCGAAACGTGGCAATAGTTTGGCTAGACTTGTAAGCCAAATGAACTGTGAAGAGGTTCAGTTTCCTTGTTCTGAAGAATACTTGTACAAATACTTGTGCAGGGAGAGAGAAAATGGAGCAAAAGCATCGAGGTTGAAAGCACTCATCGAAGCACTCACTTTTTCTCGACACATGCTGGGCATTGAAACTTTGGAGGAGTGTCTAGTTAGCAGGCGTTGTAGGGGTGCAGCTTCCAGTACAACGATTGGAGCAATCAGACAAGCGCCGCCACTGCAAGTCCAACACTTGTTAGCCTTGCATGTAGCGTTGCACGAGTCAAGCGAGCTTTGGGATGCAGCGTGTGCCGGGATGGCCTTGTTTTGCGTATATGCGCGTGCAAGGTGGACGGACGCCCAGCATGTAGAAGCCCTTAGTTTTGACTTTTCCGAAACAGGTGACCTAGTATTTGTTGAGGGTTCGACCGGAGTGCATAAGACAGCCAGAGCCTTGCAGTTGAGGCATGCATTCCTTCCACTGACAGCGCCAGCAACTGGCGTCCATCAGCTGAACTGGGCGGCAAGGTGGAAGGAAGTCAGAGAGCTTTCGAACATCGAAAATATTAAAGCTTTTCCTCCAATGCCAGTGCCAACCTCAAGTGGAATGGCTACTTCCAGGCCATTATCCACTTCTGAAGCTGGCAAATGGATTAACATGCTGATTTGTAGGTATTCAAAGTGCGAAGTAGTTTATACCTCGCACTCTCTCAAAGCCACATGCCTGTCGTATTTAGCCAAAGCAGGGTGCGGTTTTGCAGATCGCCTGGCACTGGGGTACCACACAAACCCCCTCCGGATGGCCTTCACGTATAGTAGAGATGGTGCAACCAGGCCTTTAAGAATTTCGCCCAGATTCAACTAGAAGTGGACGCTTTATTTCAGAAACAACCGGTGCAACTTCCCATAGCAAAGTTGGCAAAGTCATCCTTGTAAAAGAAGAACCGATTGTGCTGGACAGGGAAGTTGTTCATGTTGACACTGAATCGGATGTTGAGACAAAAGAAAACCACTTAAGTGATCGTGTGACAACCTCGTCGCCATCTTCTAGTGGAGATGATGCGGTGGTGCGCCCGGAAAGAGATACGGTCGCATTAAAAGTTGATGAGTCGGTTGACGTCTGGAAACACAAGAAACTGCATACAGTTCACCTTGCGCTCAAGGGGTGCAAACTAAGCTTCTTGTGGAAGGAAGATAGGTCAGCAGCACGAACAAGCGACTGGGCACCAGCGTTTCGATGTCTCACAGTGTAGGCACTGGAGCATGAGCAAGGCTGACGAAGTCCGTGGCTTTGTGAAAAAGCAGCGGACCGGTAAGTTCAAGTGGAGCTGTCGCTTAGTGCATTCACTCCCTCTCTCTCTCTCTCTCTCTCTCTCTCCTGTTGTTTGTTTTTTTGACTAGCAAACTCACAGGACTATGTTTGCTTAGTTTTGACGAGCAAACTCACAGGACTATGGATTGAAGGTGTTCAAGGTGTTCACACAGTGAGTTTGCGTGGAACACACGCAGTGGGATGGCCCTGACTGCCGTGTGTAGGACGCATCCGGCTCAAGACTGTGTTGTATGAAACAAGACACCTATCTTCCTAGGCGGACACAAGGTTGTTCTCACGTGTTCTTGCATGTCACCCTAAGTTTGACTATCCTTAGCCTGTTGTAGTTTGGTCGCTGAGCTGCGAGGTTGACTCGCAAAGTGAAAGGACCTCGGACCTCGGAGTCAGCCACGGCCTTGGTGGGTTCAAGAGCCTTCGATGCTCACTGCGACAAGATAGATAACACAGGAAGCTTGAAGCAGATAATGCATGACAATAGCCTCCACAACTTCTCTGAGTTGAGCTTCACCATAATGTGGTCCCTTGATTAATCAACCCCCCCCCTCTCCCCCCCCCCTCCCCCTCAACTCTTGAGACTCCAGAACAATGCGCTAGAAAACCAATCTACTCTGGCAATATTAAAATAAAAGGAGTCACGAAAACCTAACTTTGAAGACATCTGGAATATTAATTACAATAGAAGGGAATGAATCAATGGAAATATAACTAACTTTTTTAATTTGAAAAATCTGAATCCAAAGACCTGCAATTTCAATGGTGAGTAAAGCAAATCAAAAGGCAAAGAAAAGGACTAAAGATTTAACGTCTCAAATCTCTAGACATTATTCTAGGGCCCCCCCCTAAATAATGTCAGAAAGCTGCTTGCTGGACTACCCCCTTTGCTTGAATGATTTTTTGTTTTATCAATACTGTTGAATAAGGGATTTTATAAAGAAAGTGCGCACTGACTTTTGGAAACTTTTGGAAAGCTTCAAAAATAAAGAGCTTAGGAAAAATATATAAGGAATAGAGGGTGAGTAAAGCAAATCAAAAGGCAAAGAAAAGGAAAAAAAGACTTAAAGCTTCAAATCTCTAGACATTATTCTAGGGCCCCCCCTCAATAATGTCAGAAAGCTGCTTGCTGGACTACCCCCTTTGCTTGAATGATTTTTGTTTTTTCAATACTTTTGAATAAGGGATTTTATAAAGAAAGTGCGCTGACTTTTGGAAACTTTTGGAAAGCTTCAAAACTAAAGAGCTTAGGAAAAGTAAATATGGAATAGAGGGTGAGTAAAGCAAATCAAAAGGCAAAGAAAAGGAATAAAGATTTAAAGCCTCAAATCTCTAGACATTATTCTAGGGCCCCCCCTAAATAATGTCAGAAAGCTGCTTGCTGGACCACCCCCTTGGCTTGAATGCTTTTTTTGTTTTTCAATACTTTTGAATAAGGGATTTTATAAAGAAAGTGCGCACTGACTTTTGAAAACTTTTGGAAAGCTTCAAAACTAAAGAGCTTAGGAAAAGTTAATAAGGAATAGAGGGTGAGTAAAGCAAATCAAAAGGGAAAAAGTCAACTATAACAATAAAAAAAATTCCACTACAACTATCCCTCCAAAAAAAAGACATTATTCTGGGGGCCTTTATTAATCAGTGCAGGAAAAAATGAGTCATTATTCTGGGGGTGTTTATTAATCAGAGGACCACATTAGGGACCCCACAGAACCCGCCCACGGATGCGGAGTTCAAGGAGTTCTGCAAGCACTTGAATAGAGATTCGGACATGGAGATAGCCCTGTTGGCTCGCATCCGGCGCTTGCACTTTGAATCTTCCACAATGGTGGTCGCACACCTGAAGTCGCAGGTGAACCCCGAGACCGGGATCGAAGTTGTCAAGAAAATCCCGCCCGCCGAAAAGCAAGCCAGGCTCTTGGAGCAGCAGAAACGCCTAGCAGGTATTCAGCTTTCTGGGTGAACTTCTCCCGTCGCACGCACTAATTGACCATGTTGCAGCCATGGTGGAGAGCAACACTATTCTCTGGGTTCCACCCTCCAAACGCTCAAAGCGGGATGACGAAGTTCAGCTCCTTGGCAAACAGAAAGCGGCCACTCTCTCGTTGGAACAGCAGACCTTAAAAATCATTCCTGCTGACACACATGTCTCAGCGGATCTTTCTACAGACCCTTCAAGTGCAATGGGCCTTGCAACGCCGCGGCCTTGCCTTCGACCAATGCGGGTTGATCGCCTGGAGCACCCATCAAAAACGGGTTCAGCAACTGCTGAACTTGTTGACCAAAGATGCGCCTGCTGGCTATCACAAAGTGCGGGTTGACCTTTTGATCCAAGCAGATAAAGAGCTTTTCACTGTGATGGCGCAAGAATTCCAGATGTCGAACCGCAGGCTGACAGACAGCCCTTCTCCCATGGAAGAGGCCATGAAAGTTCTTTGCGCAGACCCCAGGATTACTATGCATGTTCTCCCCTTGCCCAAGTCAGTCGCTGCTGTGTTCACCACAGAGAATGATAGCGCAGGAGAAGCAAGCGCGCCCAGGCGCCCAAGAGAAAAGCCAAAGCGCAACCGCCCGCTAAAGCCAAAGCCCTATGTCTGAAAGGATACAAGCAGCTGGATTCAAAAGGCAGAGCCATCTGCTGGGCATTTAACATGACAGACGGTTGCCGTGAGCAGACCAACTCCGAAGGTCGTTGCAAGAAGGGCGTGCACAATTTGCATCAGGTGCCATAGAAACAACCACAGCTTGGTCTCCTGTCGGGCCAAGACTTCTTGACGGTTAGAATCCCCCACTGGTGCGGGGGAGAACGAACTAGGCACCGCCCGCCCATTTTGCTTGTCAAAACGAATTCGCCAAGCCAGCTTCCTTAGTGGAGCCAATCGTTTCACAGCCTGCCAAGAGACCTCGAACAGGCGTTGGCGTTGGAGACTCCTCATCTTCAAAGGATGCCGGGGAGCCCAGCACCGAATTCACCCACATGTTACAGCAGAAGCTTGCCGTTTTGAAGAAACGGCATATTGCCCATCAAGCAGCAGCTCCAGGCCCAGCACGCACCAACCTGAGGTTTTCTGGCAAGGACCTCAGTCAGTTGCTAATTGTTGAAGTCTTTGCCGGCGCAGCCCGTTTGTCCAAAGTTGCGCGCGGGATCAGGGTTTTCGTATTTTGCCAATAGACCACACTCAGAAGCATGCGCAAGGGGTCCACATTGCCTTTTTCGAGTTAGCTGATGACAAGCACTGCTCAGCTTTAGTTGACTTGATTGAAAAGGAACAAGACCATATAGCCTGGGTTCATTTCTCTCCAGCATGTGGAACAGCTTCCAAGTCAAGGGACAAACCCCAGCCTGCGTTCGAAAGGCGCAAGGATTTCGGGTGGCCCAACCGTTGCGGTCAAAGAGCAAGCCACTCGGATTAGATGGCCTGACCGGACTCGACAAAGTGAAGTGTGAAACTGCCAGTTAACGTCGTCTAGAGTCTACGACAACACTTGTCGCTTAGTTCTTGCTGCTGTTAAGTTAGATCTCACAGCTTCGGTTGAAAACCCGGTCAACTCCTTGTTCTGGGACATCCCAGCAGTTGTGTCTTTGCTGAACCAGGTGCATGGGGTCGATGCTGTGTTCCATAACTGTTGTCACGGGGGCCTGCGTCGGAAAGCAACTAGGTGGTGGCGTACCCGCGACTGGTTCTTGCCGCTTGCACAGGAGTGTGATCGTTCTCACCCTCACACCCCATGGGCTCCAACTTTGGTCGAAGGAGCGCTTGCGTTTCCGACCGGTGAGGAAATTGCATATACCCCGTTTTGTTGTGTGAGAGGTTGGTCGGAATCGTGAAGGCAGAATGTGTTGCTTCCCAGGATTTGTCCACGCAACAAGCTGCCGGTGTAAGTGCACACCGCCTTTTGTTAGACATGCTTCCACGCGGTAAGAAATACCGCCCTTAGGTTTCCGAACACGGTAGCTATTGGTTTGTTGTTTCAGTTCCACCGTTCCCCGCACAGGTCTCTCACCCAGCTTTGCCCCCTCATGCAAAGGCCATCCATCGGCGTGTAACTACGTGGGGAAAATTTCGGGCCGATGATTCGCAGTTCTTGTTAGGTAATCAGACTAGCATAGTGAACTTGCAAGAGGGTAGTGCCATCGAAGTCGTGAGTTTTGGTGTTCCAAGGCAACCCTTGGAATTCGTCGCACGAATCGTTCGGTGTGGACAGCCAAGGTCTTCTGCAATCCATTTGCCTAGAGATGTGACTAGGGTGCTTGAAAGCAACATGAACAGGTGCGACGCAGCATTGGTCCGTAGACGCGCCGATTTCTTCGCGAAATGGACCAAACGGGCTCATGAACTCAGAGAGGAAGAGGCCAAGTTCAAGGCTGCAATGAGCCCACACTTACGTAAGCTTCTTGCGCCCAAGCGGCTTCTCCTTTTTCGCGAAATTCTCGAAGAGCTCGAGTTCCCAGATAGGCAAGCGGCAAGTGGTACAAGATATTGCCGAAGGGTTCCCAATTTCGGGTTGGATGAGAAAGTCAGGCATTTTTCCCCCCGGCACCAAAAGGCCGCAATATGATTTGGACACTGTTAGGTTGATGTCGAAAGGCCTCAACTCCAGAATTCTCTCACAGGTCAATTCTCTAGACCCAAGCGATGAAATTGTTCGCAAGACTTGGGAATTGACGAAAGATGAGATTCAGGCTGGTTATGTTTGGGTTGACAAAGAAGCAAAGGCCGACCACTTCATTCTGGCAAAGAGGTTTGGACTCCCTCAAAAGCAGAAAGTGAGGATGATCGACGACTGCGCCATAGGAGGGTTGAACTCTACCGTAGGAGTCAATGAAAAGTTCAGAATTCACGCAGTTGACGAAATTGCCGCACACTTAGGATGGTGCCTTGACTTTTCGCGCAAACACAATCCTGCCTCCACCTTAGTAGGACGCACTTTCGACCTCAAGACTGCACACAAACAATATGGAATAAGACTTGAAGACAGGGATCTGGTGCGGATTGCCGTGCTAAATGCAGACAACAATCAAGTAGAGTTGTTGGGCTTAAATTCCCTGCCTTTCGGGTCTGTGGGCTCGGTAGGCGCCTTTTTGCGCGTGAGTTTGGCGGTGTGGCACGTTGGAATCCGGGCCTTGTCCCTTAGCTGGAGCGCGTACTTTGACGATTGCACGGCCCTCTCAACTCAGCAACTTGCGCAAAACACAACCGGTTGCGTAGAGATGCTGTTTGACCTCTTAGGAATAGACTTTGCAAGAGATGGTTCCAAGGCTACGCCTTTCGCCTCGAAATTCAAAACCTTAGGGGTGGAAATTGACTTGTCCCAGTGGAGCCAAGGAGAAGTCCTGATTGGTCATTCTGCTGATCGCAGAAACGAACTCTCGAGCGTTCTTCAAGGACTCCTACAGGAAGGAGAAATTTCCAATAAACAAGCAGAATCGTTGAGAGGAAGAATGCACTGGTTTGAAAGCTTTGCCTTTGGTCGAGTCGCCAACCAGGCTGTCAAAATCCTCGGAGAAATCGCGCTTCGTAACAGTAAGAATTGCAAACTCAACCCCACAGAGACATAGAGGCCATTCGATTCCTCCAAGACAGAGTTCTTCGCGCGCCCCCTCTGAAAATCACTCCAACAAGTTTGCTTTCGTATGTTCTTTTCATGGATGGAGCGTGCGAAGGCCTACAAACCAAGGTTGGGAGTGTTGGAGGTGTCTTGGTAGACCCTTGTGGGATGTTCAGAGCTTTCTTTGGAGCCAAAGTCCCAGACAGAATCACGCGCGAGTTCAGCCGTATGTCGGAAAATCAAATATATGAACTCGAGTTGTTGCCAGTTTGGATCTCCTTCCTTCTTTGGGCTCCATATTTGAACAACTGCCAACTGGTAAGTCACCTAGATAATGATGCTGCTCGCTCAAGTCTTTTGAGAGGAGTCGGTGCAACGGCTGCTGCAGAGCAGATCGTTGATCTCGCGACAGGTCTCGAAATGGACTTACAATTGAGACTCTGGTACGCGCGTGTGGCAACAGCTTCAAACATAGCTGAAGACCCGAGTAGGCTAGTGTTTGATACTATGCAAGCTGGGGGCAGAGTTCTTTGACGTTCCTTGGGGCAAGGTCGACAAAGCCCTACAGAGAGTTCAGCCTGAAGAGTCGGGTTGACTGCGGGGCGTGAACTGCATGTACCTTCCCCATTGCTCCGTGTCCAAAAAGAAAGCGAGTGACCCGTTCAGTGCGCTTGCTTTTGTGATTGTGCAGTCATGCCGCTTTCATGAAACCGGACTCAGGGGCAAGAATAAATTATATATACTGTACTATATTGTACTCAATAATGATTTGATTTTCTTTAGTGTGCAATTTTGCATTTTTAAGTGACACAGATTCAGTATTTTAGGGATGCCTCGCTGCAACAAGAGGGCAACTGACGCATTCAAGTCAGCCAGAGGCAACCCAAGCTGCGGCCTTGAAGCGGTTGGAAACCTTCCAGGCCTTGACAGGAAAGGAACAGTAACGACGTGACGTAACCAAAAAGGGCAGACAAAGGCCAGGTGGCACGTTCTTCAGCAGTCTCCACGTTCGATATAGTAATATATACTGTATATATATATATATACAATAAGGTGTAGTTTCTTTGCCTGCCAGGCCAGGGACTTGCAAGCTTTGGCCTTGGGCTTGGTGGAAGGCGAGAGCGTGGACATCCCCGTGGAAGCCCTGGCCAGGTGCGAAAGCAAGACCAGTCCGAAGCAGAACCAGTGGAAGGAAAGAGATTGGGGGATGTGTGGAAGGCAACAACATAAGCTGGTCATTGTTTACCAATATATATATATGTTTGTCCAAACCTAGCAAACTCCGATTTCGATGTTCAGGTTTAAGCTTGACATAAGAAACCCGCGCAAGAACCTCACGCCTTGGAAGGCTAGATATAATGTATATATGGGTGCGTCCTATATGGGGGTTCGATGACTAGGGGGGCCCTGGGTGCACAATTTATCACGAAAGCCAGCCGATAGGCTAGGCTGGAGTTGTCGATGGGGGAACGAAGTGAGTATTAGGGTGTGTGTGGGGTGGTCGCACAGAAGGCAATTTGGGAGGGCGAGCCCAGGGCCTGGTGAGGGAGAGCGAGAAAATGGTGAGCAGAATGGGAGTTACTAAATATATGTTTTTTTGGGGTGTTGCGATGCAAGTGATGTAATTGACGGCGAAGATTGCATCATTAGCATCATGTAAACAGTCTTCTACCAGGGGTGGGAGTTCACGTCGATGATAGCAAAGGGGGGGCAACGGGACGCGAAAAGTGATGCGCGTCTCTCGTGGCTATTTAAATCGTCTTCCACGGGTGACAGGGAGGTGCGCGTCTCTTATGTGGAAGTGCTGTGAGGGCAGGAGAGGGAACAGACTGCTGTGGGGGGGGGTTGCAAGAAATGATGTTGTCCGAGAGGGAAGAGAATGCGGTGGGCCAGCTTTGTGTTGAATGGGGGGGGCAACTTTAATGGTGAAGCGGCACAGTAGCAAAGGGCACCCCATATTAGGTGAGAGTTCATGTGGAAGACAGGCATAGCGGAGGAGGACGTGGTAGGAAAAGAGGGACTGCAAGAAGTCTTTGAGTTGCTTGGGGGAACCTTTTTTATGGTGAAGACGCCTGTTAACCATACGCAAAAGGGGCCTTCTCTGTCAAGTGCATCCAAAGAACGGCAGCAAGAACCTATGGCAGCTTCTTCGCCCGAGTTCATCAAAGGAACCAACCCAAACCCTTTTGCAAATGGCGCTACTGCCTCTGAGCTCTCTGCCCGACTGCGAATGCACCGCTGTACTTAAACTGCGCAGAGCGCTGTGTCAAACGAGCGGCGCAGTAGAACTAGAGCCACCGCAGGTATAAAAGTGTCCCGAGGCGGTGGCATAAGCACTAGCAACTTTAAACTCAACAGGTTTTGGAAGACTCCGGCAGGGGGCCCCTCAATCAGCGCCCTTTTATACATATATATATATAACACATTCAGGTCTTGAGGGCTTATGGTAATGTATATCAGAGGCTGGGGGCAAATATGTTTCGATCAGGTTTGGACCGAACATCGGGTACATGTGCCTCCATATTCAAACGTCAAGAAATCCAAAGTATGTTGCACATATTGTGGTTGACCAAATGCTTTCGGCCCGGTAAAGCGGAATGGTGCAAATGTCCATGTCGCAGTGCTGGCCGTGTGGTGGGTAAGCCGGCGTTCAAGCAGGCTTTTAAGGTGGTTCACTATGCAGTTCGCAGCATCATCCCATATGATGCGTTTTTTTTGGCCAACTTGTTGGTTTTGATTGTTGAGTTCCGTTTCCTACCTTGCATGGCTAAATCATTGACGTTGGGGTCATGTCTATGGCTACTTTGCAGTTTGCGCTGTTTGTAAACTAATCAAACCTGCTAAACACCGCGGAATCGCAATCCTGCAAACTGATCGTTTAGAGTCATTTGGGATGCGTTGCACACGGCATAGTTGAATGGTTCTTGCAACTCTGAAGTTTTGAAGGTTCAAAGTCAAGCCGACTGAGGACTCTACAGGACATATGTTACCATGTTGTTCATGCATCTAGAACATCAGAACACACTTGGGATTTGATTGGCAAAATTCAAGGGTTGGAGGGGACCCGACCAAAGCGAATGTGTCACAAGGTTCAAAATACAGTACACAGTTTTTGCACAAAGCGATAAGAAAACCCAATTCTCCGGCCAGTGAAAACAAACATTCATTTGTTTTTTAATTAAGGATTAACGGACCAACACTACAACACACGTGTTGGTTTTTGAATCGTCAGGCAGTGTTTGGCCATTCAACTCATTGTAAGAAGAAGAGTAGAACGAAAAATGGTGTATAGTAGATGTTTGCTTTGCAACGCTATCTGAAATTGGTTTCCCAACCATGTGTCTCTGCAGTCTTAAGCCTTGTTGCTGTTTTAAAGCGTTGGAAAGAGTTTTTTTGTGACCGAAGGCGTTCTTTGGCCTTGTTTCCGGAGCTGAACTCTTTGGACGTGGGGAACCTTTCACGTGCCTTCGTCATGCTGCGGTATCAAGACCTTGCAGCTTGGCCTTGCAGGAAAGTCGTGATATGAATTGATGGCAGGCAAGATGCATTGCCACACATCCAACAAAATTTGCAATAGGAACCCTGAATCTATACAATACCATAAACCTGCCATCATGCGCATCAGGTGCGCCAAGTGTTCGATGGTTGTTCCCCAGTCAAACGTCGATGGTGCGCAAAGTGTTCTAGGTCTAGGACTTTCAATTCTGACGATATCCTGTTACCTGTTGAAAGGTTTCAAGAGTTTAAAGATGCTTAAAACACAACTGGCACTCACCCTGATTTCCTTGGCGATTTGTAGGCAAGTAATTCTCACGCTCTCCTGGATGCGCTTGAAGAACAAGCGCTGGTGCTACTCAATGAAGGGAGCGTTCCGTCGCTCGTACATGCTGTGACCCGAAGTGCTTTGGAGCACCGCGTGTCAGGAGGTTGTGCATGGCATTAAACGAATCCAAAATCAAGTTGAGCACCTTTGATCGAATGTGTCAAATCTTCATCCAAGAATCTCTCGGGAGACTCGTACGACCGAGGAGTCAAGCCCTAGCTGACTTTGCATATTCATTTCCTGGTCGCCTTCAGGCCACTTTGGCCCAGGAGGCCTGAAAGGGAGGAGTTCAGTAGGATTGGACCATGCTACAGTGTCAGTTGTTGGTTTCCATGCGACTTGAGTCTGGTTTTGGGACTTTGGGTGCGAACATGCTACAAAGACATTTTCTGTTGTGTATGATTCAAACCTACTTTTACTTTTAATTTGTTAACAAAGACTCAGACTTGTTGAGTTTCCCTAAACATCTAAGAACCACATGAATAGTGCGTGAACTATCCTCCATCCAGTTACTAGTTGCTAGGAACGTCCTACTTAATAGATACTATAGCTACCTCTTCTAGCGCTACCCCCCGCCACTGCCCTACAAAAAACAATATAACAGTTGAGATTTTGCCTGTGTTGGTTTCCAGTCGTCGTCCTACACAGATTGGGCCGCTTGGGAGGTTCAGCGGAAGTTGGTTCGGCACGACTTGCGGCATCTCGTGCCTAGGATCTATAAATGATCTATAGTAGCTTCTTGTTACTACTAGTAAGGCACTTGTTACTAGTAGCGATGCACTTGTTCCTAGTAGCTTCTTGTTATTACTTATATAGGCCTCAGAGTTTGGCCTTGTTGAAGCGCGCGTGGGTTGTTGTCACCCTGCCTGTGCAGGTGCTAAAACGAGTCATTCCTCAGGAACACTTTTTTTCGTTTTTCGCCAATGCTGTCACAGGCTGTCCAATGACGTTCGCCTGAAGTTGTCAGAATCCTTTGCATATCGACAAAGGTATTGTTCAGCCGTGTTTGCAAGATCACCAAGGTAGCATTGGAGGAGTGGATCAATGATGATTGCAAAGAGGTGCTCCAGGAACGATTGGGTTGTGCAACTGGGCAGTGATGGCTGTCCACCTCCAGTTGTGAACTTGATTTATTCTATAGTTATATATAGTTGGTTTGAGTTTAGGATGTATCCTAAACCGGATAAGTGCTTCCTTGCAAGTGGGCAAGACTAAGTGCAGAACTCAACTTCCAATCCTTTGCTAACCTCCTGTTGTTTCAAGAGCACATCAGACGGCTGGCAATATCCACCATATTATGCAAAACAGGACGCTAAGACTGCTCTCTCTCATGTATATATTTGTAGGCCATCGGCGGAATTAAGCATGGACCTATGTCAGCTTCCACATGTGATGCCTGTTTTTGTTACGTTGTGTTGTTTGACAGGCTGTTTCACACAGAGAGTGCTTCGGCACAGTTCGGCGTTTATGATGAATCAAGGCACAGAACATCACAGAACAAAAGAGCACTTCATAGCATGTCTAATTGGTGCCATGCATGAGGTGATCTACCACATCCTCCAAGTGCTGCCGACCACCCCAGATGGATGGCGGAGTGAAGACTACCAGCAATTGATTTTGGGCTTGAAGGTGACAGACTTTGGTGAGGCCAGCAAGCTGTTGTGCTGGGTCATTCCGTCAATGCTGAAGCTAGCTGCTGACGCACATCCAACTTGGACACACGTGTTAAAAGGCTTTTCCAGGTAGTGTCTAAGTTTCTTGGATTCTGTGGATACGAACCTCATGCAGGCATGTCCACAATGTGTCAGGCCTGTTAAGTATCACTTGCCATGGTCACTGTTCTCTTGATCAACTTGCAGCCAATTGTGTGTTCTTGCATGTTCTTGCCAGATAATTGTTGAGCACTTTCTGCGCGAGACCAATTTTTGTTGATACTTGTTGAACCATGTTTTTTCCTTGTACATTGCAACAAAGATGAGGTGACAGGGGAATGGTGGACTGGGCGGGTGGGTGAGGGCAACGGGTTGGGCGGTATTGGCGTGAGTTTCATTGTTGGGTTTGGACAATATGCTCCCCTCATGTACATATGAGTTTGTAAGTGCATGCTATCAAACCTCGACTCAAGTATGGATTCTTCGACGCTCCTTGTAGATGAAACTCAGAAGATCGGGTGGTTCTGCACCTTGTCATCGGTTTCACAAGATCGTTATTGTGTTGGATTCCGTGCATTGTCACACCAATATCATCGGCCACAACAGTGTCATCGAAGACTCGTTTGATCGCAAATGTGGTCTTGAGGTGCGGTGGAGGATGGTGGAGGATGGTGGATAGAGGGTCAGAAGTTGGTTAAAGGCTAAGCAAATCTTTTCGGAAGGATTCCAGCCTGGGCACATTTGCGCATGCATCGCGGGTTTGCTGTAGCCAGAGAAAATGATAACCTTGCTTGCTCTCGCAGGCAAAAGACTCCGGTCCGAGTCCATGCTGAAGCGTTTCACAATGCCAAGCATCTCATGTCACTGCAAGCTGTAAGGGGTTCAAACCAAGGGCTTTTTGCTTCTGAACCGCCCTGCGCAATTATTCGCCTGCTGGAACCTTGGAGCCAGGGATCACAACCTTTTGCCTGGCACCCTGGTACGTGGAATGGAGCCTTGTGACTTTTGAAACCAGGCAGATCGGAACCCTGGAGCCGTCCCCAATGCTTATGCCAACACATAGCGTTGCCTGTATATATAAGTGGTATAAGCCCTGCTCGTACCTGCTTAGCACTCAAGATCCGTTTGTCGGAGGTAAAACTCCCAGTGACCGCATAATTGCACCTCTTGAGTTTTCTCATCCAAAGCACAATTTCCGGTCTATGCCGGTGTAACGTGCACAGTATATTTAAAACTCAAAGTTAGGGCATGGGGATAATCCCTCGTGCAGAAGTTTGAGATCTATGCCAGCTGGCAGGCAGCCACTACCTTTCTTTTGTCCAAGTGCGGAATTCGTGCCCGTTTGCAACTTGGAGGCAGCAACATACTCCTGTAGCTTCCAAGCGTTCACTTTGATGTGTAAGATCAGACGATTTGGACAGGTCCAATAGTATCTCTCTCTCTCTATATATATATATATATCTGACGATGTTCCTGAAACTGAAGTTCTTGCCTTTCCTTTGCGAAACCAACACGAGCATTTCCAAGGATCTCCAATGTCGGCATGAGAGCTTGCCCATCACATGCACGCCTTTCTGGGATGTTGAGTTTGGTCCGAGAGGCACCTTTTGAACTTCTTGAAGTCAAAAACCTACAGCAGTAGAGTAGAAGGCATGACATTTTAGTGTTCCGTCCTTGAACTGTTCTTGCAGCCGTCATCACCAAAGCATTCTGACAGACAGGCTGATGAGAGAGACAGACGGACGGACGGACAGACCGACAGACAGACAGCCAGCCAGCCAGACAGACAGACAGACAGAGACAGACAGAGACAGACGGAGACAGACAGAGACAGACAGACAGCTAGCCAGCCTGCCTGCCTGCCTGCCTGCCTGCCTGGCCGACAACCACGTAACTGCACCTTTCTGTTTGAGAGGTGAGGTGTTAGAGATCATGAAATTTATGGAACCTCCTCATCCACTTGGAAACGATGAGTGTGTGGAATGATTTGGAATGGCTACCTTCCCAATCTGGCAAATACAGGGGCAAAGCACCCCGAAATAATCGCAGCAGTTGAGAACCCAGCACACCAATGCAGACGAACTAGGCTGACCTAGACAAGATCACTTTATACAATCTACTTGAAAGCTCCTCGGTTGTATTTGAGCTTTTGGCTCCTCAATGCAGGGGCAGCAAATGGACCCTTTCTTCAGCAACCTGCAGCCAGTCCGGCAGCTGCGCATTGGGCCCTTGCTGGATCGGGCTTCTTGTTGTGTTTTCCAGGCACTCACAGCGCACACACCGTTCCTCACAGCTTACAGTGATTTCTGCAGGACAAACTTTGATAGAAGACTAGCTAGCATTATATAATAGAAAACTTTGCAATTTTGATTTGCTTGCGCATAATACCAGCTGTAGATTTGACATGCAAATTGAATTGCGTGGTCTGCAGATCATGGAAGCGGCACTAGCCCTTCTACCCAACGACACCGGGCGCCTGTGCTTAGCGCTCCACGGGACTCCCTGTGTGGCTCAGAGTTCATGATTCCGTCAGTTGCTGCCAGGTCAGGAATGTATTGGCGTGTTAACAGTGTTCACTAGCCGTTCATGCCAATATACACGCATGTGGTTGGTTACCAATCAGCAGCATTGCCATTCAGCTTTGGAATGGTAGATGGCCTCCCAGAATACCGGGATTCAAGGCACATTCATGCAACACATGTACTTGTGCAGCTGCAAGTTGGTCTGGTCTGGACGAAGGTTTCTTCTTATATGGATAATTGGCATCGCTTGCCACCTTGTAGCTACGCAACAGATAGCATTGGATGGCGAGTTGAACAGGATTGTCGTGCTCTTGCATGTAATTTTTGTGAACTTTCGATTGGTGGGTGCTTGCACATACTGCTGACTCTGCTGACCTACAGCACCTGATCCCTTTCACTCAGGTCTCTTGCGTTGGTGCGTTAATACAATTCAAGCAGTTAAAGCCTGAAGCTTGGCAAATTTGAGAACAGATGAGTCTGAGGTTCAGTACTTTGGCTTTGCCCTGTTTCAACTGCACAGCTCAGGATATTGACTTGGAGGTGTTGATGGAGAGGCGTTTGCAGATGAACAGATGTGATTAATACATCGGATACAAGTGTGGGAAGCTCCACCTTGGAGTCAGCACTTCAGTGCAGCATTCCGGCATTTTCAAGCTACAGTTCTCATTTCCTGGCCGGTTTGGGTCAAACCCTTCTGGCTCAGAAGCAAAGTAGGCTTAGAGGCAAGACAAAATAGCGAAAGTGAATGCATTTGTCTATCTCTCTTGGTAGTTGCTGTTGTCGAGACTGTTATGGACCTTGAGCCTTGAGCAGCCAGCATTGCTCTCACCTGTCGAGTCAAACTTTAAAGAGGATGCCATCGCCACTAGGTTGGAGGCCATCGCTAGTAGGTTGGAGGCCGGCCTCCAACCTAGTAGTGATGGCCTCCTCTTTAAAGTTTGACTCAACAGGTAGTTTTTTGCACTCAGCAACCCTCCAGACGCAATCCCCTGTGTCCCTTGTGCCTTCCCTGCGCCTTTGTTCTCGATTTGCCAGCAGATTTCAGGTTGGATTTGTCTCAGGCACGCCCCGAAAGCAGACGTGCGCAGATACGTGATCAAACTCATTGGACCGGCGGTTCCTCATGGGGATGCTTCAGCCAGCAATCTTGGGTCATTGTGCATTGTGGACATTGTGGATATGTCTTTGATATGTCTTTCTTTGTATTGCAGGTCCGTAGTCTGAATTCCTCAGCAGTGAGCAGCTCGCTGCTGTTTGTCTAGAGTCTAGAGTCTAGAATGTTTTGAAGGGACTGTGAGGAGGGAGAGATCTGTGGACTTCCTAGCTGTGGCCACAAGCTACACCGTCAGCACTACCAGCATTCACATGATGAACATTTTCCAAAACCATGGTTCATTGTTCGATGCCCGCGTATCTTACACTCATGTTCGATCGTTGAGGTGGCCAAGGTCCAAACAAACAGACCCTTCTGTTGGGAGAGTAGCGCTGTCGAAGATCCAGGCCTCCAGTCTCTCACTGGGGTGGGACATGTGATGGTGTGTGTATAGCTGTGTACCAACTACAGTGTATTGAGGTAATATATGCAACACGTGACATTTTTCTGTTTGAACTGTTGGAATATGATTCCGTGATTTTCCCGCCTTGGTCTTTTGCTTCTTAGACATCCCTGCACCAGCAGAAAACGGCGAACCTCGCACGCCTGGGGGCGCAATGCGTTGGAACCTCCGGGCAACGGCCCTCCGAGGGAGCGGAGCGGCGTGTACAAATCTGTAGATTCACATGGCCCAGTGGGTTGCGGCTCAGGCATCTTGCTAGTAAGTACAGGAGGGCCATTTATTTTGTATGTGTATTATTGGTTTTTAGGTGTCTTTTTGTTTTTGCTTCTGGCTTCTGTGGCTTTTGGCTTTCATGGCTTCTGGATTCTGTGGCCTTTGGCTTTTGGCTTGTGCCGCTCGACTGTGCTATCTTGTCTATCCTACTTACCTACCCACCCACCCATCCGTCCGTCCGTCGGTCCATCCGTCCATCCCTCGATCCATCTATCCTATCTTACTTTACTTCTTTCTATTCTATTCTCTATTCTCCATTCTATTCTATTCTATCTATTATATCTATCCTATCTATCCTATCCTATCCTGTTTGTCTATCTATCTATCTATTTATCTATCTATTTATCTATCCATCCATCCGTCCGTCCGTACATCCATCCATACATCTATCTGTAAACGAACACCATGGAAAACATGATAGAACGAACATGGATAGAAACCATTGAATTGAAGACTGAAGGATTTCAGTAAAACTAAGGAAAACCAGTGGTAAATCAGTAAAGATCAAGGAGAATCCATTCCAAAGTACTGCACCTGCCACGAACTCTGCACATGGAAGTAAAACCGCTCCAATCGCAGTTCTTGCATGGAGACCTCTCAGGCTAAGCCCGACTAGGTCATCTATTTGTTGCATTGATTTGCATTCAACATCCGAGTGTGTGGTTCATAGTCCATATGCTTGTTCTTTTTTGAACAATCCAGGTTGGTTTGTTCACTCAGCCTGGGGAGGTAGCGTTGGGTATAAATGTGTGTTTGCTCAAGGCAAGCCAACTCTTTAGAAACATATTTGCCAGGGAAGTTTGCCATTGAAGCTTCAAGGTGTAATGACTGGAATGATGCCTGCAACCAACGGCCACAACACTCAGTTGTGATCGGGCTTGGTCAAGCTTCCATGCTGCCAATGTTGTAACCAGGGTGGCTTGGACCCCAAGCAGTCGTTGTGAATGTGTGCACTGGAGGCAATGATAGAGTGAGTTACTGTGACATGACCTGCCGACCTGCTACTTATATATATATATAAGTGGTTTGAACGAGATAGGGCCCCACATAATAACATAGTGTATTTGATTTTAGTAATGAATAATGAATCAATGCCGCCACTCATATATATACATATTCTAGGGGCTCCTGGCCGTACTACTAGGAGCAAGGACCCTACTAGGCGCTCCTGGCATCGCTACTAGGAGCAAGGACGCTACTAGGGGCTCTAGACATACTGTACTACATTTGAGTCTCTCGAGATCTCTGGCAGTGGAGACCCACCTGACCCATCAGTGGACGTGGCGGTGCCTCGGTGCAAATCGCAGAGGCGAACAACGAATCCACGCAGAGAGCACAACATGGTGAGATCCGAGCCTCAGAGAGCGCCTACAACTCTGTAGCCACCTACGATGTGAACAGCTTCTTTGGAGCTATTGTTTTAATTTGTTCACCCGTAGCCCGTGGCCCTGCCTCCTTAAGTAGGCACCTACTTAATTATGTAAGGGAGAAGTTCGCTCCTAGCTACTGAAGCTTCTAGGAACTGGACGCAGGATGGCTCACGCACTAATGATTTGCTTCCTAGTTTTTTTTGATTCAGTGGTTCTACATGAGTATACCTGAGAGTCAAGGCTTGTTAGATTCTGTGGTTCTATCTATGCATGCATTCAGAAGTCGCAATTTGCTGCAGGTGATTATGACTATATATAGGTAGTATATCAGTGTATCAATATTTATATTGATATGTTCATCTTCAATGTGTGCAGTGAACAGTTTGTTGAGGCAACACACACAAATCATATCATATGGTCCTTTAGTATTGGCATGTTATATAGGTAAGTTGTTTAGATACTCTACTGCGTAGCGGCCATCTACCAATGATTTTCTGCCCTTGAGCTTTAGGGGACGCTGAAAATGGATTCCTTTGACCAATACCACATGAGCAACCGCCAAAACGTAGAGTGCAGGTTAGTGGAACCCAGCAAGAACCTGAACACCGATAGGCCACCCTCTTCAGAACCAACCATGAAGACTGTTCAATCCTTGTGCAGGAAGTCCCATATTTAGCAGCTAGAATAGAATATTTTGAGCAGTCCAAATTCCACATGCACACGCAAGTAAGAGTCAGTCGTGACAAGCAACAACCATGTTGATGGTGATCCTTTCATCAATGAACAGTTTTGGCAGATGCTGCGGACTCTACAGACTCTACCGTCAATTGGGCGATGGGAAACGCCATGAGTTGAGAATGAAGACCCTTTCGCTGGAAGGTTGGAACCCAGTTCATGTGTGGAAATATACAAGAAAAAGATGTAGAATCCAACGTGGAGTGGCAGAGGTACTGTATATGCGGAGCATCCGACTAACATGCTCTCTTCTTGGCTCGAACAAAATTGATTTGTCGAAAGATCTCACCATGTCACAATGGTCTTTCCACCGCAGTCTGCGACCAGAAATGGTGGTTCGGCCGTGGCCGAGTCCCGACAAGTCACCATGCACTTTCTGGTGCTGAAAAAAGTCGAGGGGGGGGTAGAGGACGCTACTAGGAGCAAAGGGCATCGCTACTAGGAACAAGGACATTACTAGGGGCTCCTGGCCTTACTACTATGAGCAAAGACGGACAGTAGAGACAATGGGGGACAGTAGAGCCACACTGCACTGCGGCTTGAGCAAGGGATCCTCAGTTGTTCAGGGATCCTCAAGGGTCCTGGTCTTTGTTCCACTAGGTTCTAAGTTCTGAGTACACCTCAGAAGGCCTGTCAAGGCCATGATACCACTGTTTGCTCAGGTATGACAATCTGACAATCTACTACCTATAGGGCCAAGGACCACTGAGATCTGAGAATCAGCCAGCCCACTGAAATCTTTGTTGGGGTGTGATATCAGCTCGAGTTCGGTGTTCCAAGGCTAACTTGTGCCTCTTGATTCTTCTTTTCTTGTAGGCTTTGCTGGACTTCTACGGGCTTCCGAACTTCCAGGAAGTGTTATGACCTCACAAGATGGCACAGGACACCTGAAATGAAACCTGCAAAAAATATTCGTGCTGGAAGATCAAGGACACTATACAGTACATCCCAGCTGCAAACACTGCAACAGGCAGAAAATGTCGGGAACACATAATTATCAACGTCAATCAGACATCAGAATTTCCATCTTACCATTTGGACTTTGTTGAGCCTGTTGAGCTCTATTTGTATCTCCTCCCACCAGAATGACCAGCATCAGGTCTGACTTTTTGATACATGTTGCACAAGTACGAGGCAAGCTCAAGAAGAATTCAGGCCGGGTGTGAACAACTTGCAGTTCATTGCATTACTTCAGGCGCATGTGTATATATATATATATATATGTGGGGGGGACCTTTACGTATAATATAACGACCTCTCACTCCTCAGCTTCGTCCCAACTGCTGTACTCTACTCTATTCTAAAAAACGATTGTGCCAAAGATGCAATGAGACTTGGATAATATACCTTACCAAATAAACGTAGAGCCTGGTGGGATACAAACAAGAGAAGTGGTATAGGGTAGGGTAAAAGATACACAGGTTGATCAACTACATATATATATATATATATGATGTATGTAATATGTAATTAGTAGTCCTGGTCTCGGGTGGACAAAGTAGTTAGGGTAAATGGGCAGAGTATATAAGAGTGAAAAAGTACGCGCATTTCCAGGACATCCTGCAGAGCGTTAGAGTGCATCATTTGCTTGCAAAACCTTTAGGTACATAAATACGAAAAGGAGCTTATGAAAGGGTTTACATATTGG